TAGTATGTACTATACTGTACTATTATCTTTTATATAATATCATTTATATTATATTCATAAACATTTTTGCGTTATTATTTACATTATTTTGATGTCATAAAATATCGTAAAGCATAATTAATAAGCTTCATAAACCTATGAAAAAAATGGAACTAAGGATATCAGGAGTAAAAACAACTGTAGTTATAATGTAGGTACTCCTGTATGTATTCCATCACGTATTTTTGGTACTAGCGTTTACGGAGCTCAAACTTCTTTATTTCATCACAGAAAAATTTTTCAACTGGTATCAAAAACTGATCCTCATATTTAAAATACACTCATGTCCATAAATTAAGGATAATTCGGAGTCACGCGGAAATCGAACTCTAAAATAAATATATATGACCTGTAAAATCATTACACACATCTTCAAGAATCATATGCAAATTTGAGGAAGTAACCAGATGACACCGATGGTACGTCACAATGACGAGAGTGTAAGAGAGTGATATATAAGGAATACAGGCAAAGAAGTAAAATTGTTCGCAGGCGCTTTATAAGCATTTCAGTGCAATAATCGAATAGTTATGACACAAAGGACGCATTTGGATGATTTTTTACGTGGTAGAATTATAGGCCGTTTGGAATGTGGGAGTACTCAACTGGAAGTCTCAGACGAACTTGGACTTGCCCAGAGTCTCATCTCCAGGCTTTGGCAACGATTCCAAGATGATGGTAATGTGAGTAGACGTTACAGCACAGGTCGCCCCAGAGTTACAACGCCGAATGAGGACCGGTATTTGGCAGTTACTGCCAAAAGAAACAGGTGGAGCACAGCCTCAGACCTGTCTCGTCAGCTCTCTTCAGCCACTGGTACGACAATTTCAAAGCAGACCGTGTACAGACGCTTAGGGCAGAGTGGTCTATATGCTCGTAGACCTGACAGATGCGTTCCACTTACTGCAACTCACTGTCGCCTGCGGTTAGCCTGGAGTAGAGAGCATGCATTGTGGACACCGCAACAGTGGGCTTGTGTGATGTTTTCCGACGAGTCCAGGTTTAGCTTGCAGTCTGATTCTCGCCGGACTTTCATATGGAGAGCTACAGGTACCCGTTACCACCAAGAAAACACATCATTGAACGACACCGTTACGGTGGTGCAGGAGTGCTCGTTTGGGGTGGAATTATTCTGGGTTCCAGAACTGACCTGCATGTTCAAATTGGAACCATGACAAGCCAAATCTATCGGGGAGTCATTCTGGAACAACATGTACATTTGTTTCGGGGCGCCATGGGCGCACAATTTGTGTTTATGGCTGACAACACCCGTCCTCACCGTGCAAACATCGTAAGTGAATGCCTTCAATCGGAGGATATCACCCGTATGGACTGGCCAGCATTCTCACCGGACTTGAATGCAGTAGAGTATGTGTGGGACATGCTTGGCCGACGAGTTGCAGCCCTTCAACCTCCTCCTACATGTCTACCGGAACTTCGGAGAGCATTGCTTTTTGAGTGGTGTAATATTTCCCAAGATGAGATCGATAATTTGATACTCAGTATGCCTAGGCGTTGTACGGACTGTATTGCATCGTCTGGGAGACATGCGATGTATTAACAATCATACCAACCATGTAGTATTGGTGTTTTGTAAATAGGGTTTTTTTTTTTTTTTTTTTTTTTTGTAATTTGCTCCAGGGAGAAAAAATCTCTAATTTTTTTTAATAATATCAAACATATAGCATTTTTTTTTTTTTTTGCTCTTTACCTTTTGTTTAATAAATAAGCTTTACAGATAAGTCAAATTTGTTTTGCTTCTAACTCTTCTTTTGCCTGATTTTGCATCATCCTTAATTTATGGACATGAGTGTATATAAAGCATTGGAAAGGTCTGTAAAAGGTAAGAAAAAATAGCGACTAATGAGAAAGAATGGAAAGATTTCAGCGTAGCAATCAAATGTTTGACTTCATTAGTTATCAGTGAAGGACCACATATCTTTCTTCGCATCTCTTTGACGTCATAACATGTGAACCACCGCATGTTAAGATGTCATATTTTTTAAACTGCTTTTTTTATCACAGAGTGAAAGATAGTTTTCGTAACTTATAAAAATTTCAATGTAGTATACATAGTTGTTTCCCGGTACCCAAATTAGAAAATACTGGAGACACAATGATCTGAAAAACTATAAACTTCCGCAAAATTGTCAAAAATCGCTAAATTTTGCAAGAGTTATAAAATGAACAGAGATATAAATTTCGATTTATTTGACGGGAAAGAACTGAAATTCTGCAATGCTCTGCTCAATTATTCAAAGTGGATGTCAGAGGAAAATCCTCAGAAGTTTATTTTAGTTTTAAATAATGAATCTGAATTTCATTTTGGAAACTAATGTAAAAATTACTTTTAACTCTTTCACAGCTAATCGCTCGAAACGCCCGTGCATTTAGATATCGAGTGGTTGCTCGAAATTCTGTGTCCGTTTTCTACCTGATGCTTTCCCGTATCTCGTTTTAGCGCATCAAGAAGACCACTCCAGTATATTCAATATGCCTTATTTCGCAGCTCTGACCCCTTTCATCTTTGCGCTGTACATTTCACATGTAAAGAGCATTGTTATTGTTAAAATCAAAGATTCCAATTATGATTGCTGGAAAGAGAAATAGAGCATTTCGGGAAAAAGGAAAGATTATTTCTTGAACTTTAAAGCTTCTAAAAATATGAGAATGATATGTGATTTTGCTTGCGATCAAATAATTACTGGACACAAATAATAGCCAATAGTTAAAAACAAACTCAAAATTCAATTCAAATTAATATCGCAAAATAATTTTTACATGTGCATATCTTTTGAATCAGTCTCGCGCGCTGGAGATAATTCTTTTTTTTTTTTTTTTTTTTTTTTTTTTTTTTTTGTACAGTGTTGCCATTTCTCGCTTTGAAATCATTGAGTTTCTTAATCAAAATTTCTTTAATGTCTGACAAAATGTGAAATCGATAATAAAACAAGTTCCAAATGCCAAATTTAGGCTTCCAGATGCCCACACTCGCTGGAGGATTGCGATTTTCAACACATTGTGGCTGTAGGTACCGTTGTTCTATCACAATGCGAGAAACATACATACATTTATGCGGCTTCTTCATTATTAAATTTTTTTAAATATAATACAGGGCTGTAATATTTGGTGGTATTAGTTTGAAAAGTGAATCAACGCAAAATGCCAAAACGAAATTAATAGCCCTTCTGGGTTAACGTCCTTTGGGATGGGGGGGGGGCGGGGAAATCAGAAAGGTTTCAGATTTAGGGGCGTTTTTTTAACATTTTGTGTTTTACCTTTATCTGTTAAATAGCATGTTTTTTGCACATAAAACATAAAATTCAATTCAACAGCAACATCGCAAAATAATTTTAAAATGGGCATCTCTTTAGAATTTCCGATACACAATCTCGCGCACTAGAGATTTAAAAAAAAAAAAAAAAAAAAAAAAAAAAAAAAATTCTTATAGTGTTACTATTTCTCTCTTTTAAATCGTCGAGTTTGTTAATCAAAAATTCGTTAAAATTTTACAAAATGTGAAATAGATAATAAAATAAATTCCAAATTAGTGCTTCTAGATGCCCCTAATCGCAGGAGACGTTATTTAAATTTTGATGGCTTTAGGTACCGTTTATCACATTGCTAGAAACATATATACATTCATGCATGTTCCTCATTATTTAATTTCTTCAAATATAATACAGGGTTCTAATAGTTATTGGCAACAATTTAAAAAGTGAGTTAACGCAAAATGACAAAACGAAATTAATAGTCCTTTTGGGCAAATTGCCCCTTTAGACTAGGAAAAAAAAAAAAAAAAAAGGCTTCAGCATTGAGGATGGAAAGGTATGCTAATAGGTTTATCTGTTTTTTCTAAAAGAGAAAATTTTCTTTGCTTCAGATTTAGTTGACACATATGTTTCTGAATTTACTAAATAGTATTTTTTACAGAGTCAATCCAAAGTACGATCTACCAAAATAAAGTACAGAAATTGTAATATACACTGTAAGAATGCGTTGAGAACTGAAAATACGTGGTATTAACACTGAATTTACATACATGGAAGATTATTGCTCGAAGATTAATTTTATTCATGCCATTTATATATTTCAGTACTACTTTTCATTTATTAATTTTACCTTTTTGTTGTTTCCTACGAATACAGTATATTCTGAATCGTTCTGCAACATGAAATTTTCAAATTTATTAAAGCGAATTTCAGATCTTTGAAAATTAATATGTATTTATTAAAATTCTCCTGGAGTTTAGGCTAGTGCTGCCATCTACTGGGATGATTGAAAATGCAACAGTGAGATATGACATTTGAATATAGCGTGTATTTGAAACAGAATAACTGTTTTTAATATTCGTTCAATATTTTAGTCTTAAATTATTATTTGAAGCTTGGTTAATTTTGATAAATAAAAATTTTTAAAAGCTCATCTACAAAAGTCCGCTTCATCACCGATAAATCCTCTCTTTGAAAGACATTTTTAAATTTAAATATAAGAATAAAAGTCCAACTAGGTATTTTCCTGATTAAAATACAAAATTCCAGTTTGATGTAATTATAATATCCAGTTATCAAATTGAAGACACCATAGTTGTATTTGAGAGAATGACTAACTTTCAGTTTGCAATCCAATAGTAGTATTTATCAAAATAGAAATTAAAAATAAAATAAAATAAATAAAAGAATGAAATTCTTATAAATATTTGGAAATGCTAAATTATACTCTTTAAATCTGAGTTTTTACTATAAAAAGATCTCGAAGAATAATATGCAATTTTGTATTATGCCTTGAATCAATACCTGACTATTTTTATTTAAAAAATTAATGGTACTTTTATTAATACTTTTGCTTAATGTTATGAAGAATAATTATGTATTATTATTATGTTAATGTGCTTAGCTTTATGCGCCTATTTTTATATTTGCAATCTGTACTTTATTTATTAAATCTCTTCTTTATTTTAGGTGAAAAGGAAGAACAATATGCTCATTGTTCTGCTCCTTCTTCTTTTGGAAAGATTAGAAATACAATATATTCCAAACAAGGTGTACTGAATTTAATTTTTATTGTAAAGACTACATTACTTATTATTATCACAGTAGCATCTTTTGCTACCCCAGCTGAAAGTTCCTTGATAAAACCTATTCTACCAAATAACCAGAATGTTGCTGGAGTCTCACGTGTAGAACTTATAGAAGAAGAACTAAAATCTAAAACTGGAGAAATTTTTCCATGGAAAGATATACGTCTGCCTTCTTTTATAATACCCGTGCACTATGATTTATTTATATTTCCAAACCTTAAAACTTCTGAAAATATTGGCAACGTGAATATAACATTTAAAGTTACAACACAGAGAAACTTTATAGTTCTGCATTCAAAGGAGCTGAATTTGACAAACCTCTCAGTAACCGAGAGTAATGAAAAGGAAATACCAGTTCTTCAGTATTTAGAATATCCAAAACATGAACAATTGTATATAAAAATTGATGGAAATTTCATGCCCGATCTGGAATATAAATTATCAATTGATTTTGAAGCATATCTGAAAGTCATTAAGGGAGGATTTTATTTAAGTTCCTATGTGACAACAGGCGGCCAAAAGAGGTAAGAAAATTCTATTATATTTAAAAATAAAGAAAATTTTACAAATATAATATTGCGTTTCATGTAATGAATTGTTAAGAAATTATGAGTTGTGCGCTGTTTTGAGAAATTTCTCTTTTGCTCAAAATGTGCTTACGTCTATTGCGATAATTCTTTTTTAAATTGTATCTGACACGCAAATGCAATACAAGTCAGAGGCTTTTTTTTTTTTTTTTTTTTTTTTTTTTCTTTTTGTAATGAGAAGTCAACAAGTCTATGCCAGTTATAACATGCTCAAATGCAATCTAAACAATTCAAAAATTATACACAAACTGGATTATTTCCTTGAATTGGCTCTTTTGTTCTTTCAGAGAAGAAAATTGGTTGATGGACATGGGGAAATCACAGACTTTCTTAATCCTAATCTAATAACCATTTTGAGAACCACCTTCACAGTCTTGTAATACTTCTGTTTATGTATTTCAGAATGGACCTTATATGAATACAGATTTATTGAGTAGATTTCCATAATGCTGCATATTCTGTTATGTCTAGAATAATATCATAGATGGACTTCTCCCTATGCTATTGTGTAGACTGGCGATCTCGGATTTTTTTGATCGCCTACTTCTTAGATGAAAATAATTGCAAATTGTATCCCATGTAGTATAATATAAAATTTATGCACGATGCAAGTGCTTACTTGTTTAGCAAACCTTCCCCCCGCAAATATTACTTTGCTACTCCCTGGGCTACGCGTACCCAATTTTGGAAGCTATTGCAGTAGAGAAAACTGTGAAGTTGTATGTTTATAACTGATATGCATTTGTTGGCGTAACCAAACCTACACTCTCTACTGCTAGGTAAAATGCTTTTGCATTAACGATTCGTTAAAATAACATTAAAAAAAATCACCTATTAATGACAACCAACCACAATCGCCAAGATGACCTTCGAATTTCAAAACCGAGCTCGTTATTACCAAGATAATGATACTTAGATACTTAGTTGTAATATACTGGGTTTCTACTGCACCACGGCAGTACTTCCCAGTAGCATGAGAGATATCTCGAAGGAACATAGCTTTGAAGGAAAATCAATTAGATCCTGTAGCAGGAAAAATCAGAAGAGGCTAAAACGAAAAAGAGAAGAGCGAAACAAAGTCCTTGCACGTGCCGCCATCTGGTGGCGGTTAACCAAGATAATGCTGGCATTAAGCTCGCTTAAATATTAGTGGATTGCCAAATAACTACATTAATTTTGCCTACTTTAGCTCATATTGACGAGAAGTACATAAATTTTCTTGCATGAACTATTGTAAAAGTAAGAGCAACCGCTGAAAGCAAATATGTGAAAAATAATCTGTTTTCTCCATGTATTTATTCGTTTATTTAATTTGTATTTTTGCTTCTTTGGAAAATAACTTTTGGTAATGCTGAAAAATTAACAAACAGCGCAATATTACCAAATATACCTTTAATTTATGTATTTTAATTGCTTATATACAGAATTTTAGCAGCTAATTTCTTATTATATGATTTGGGTCTAGCAGATTTGTACATGCATTTAATAAAAAAATATTGAGACTTTAAAAGTAAGCATACCTTTCTTGTTGGAAGCCTGCATGAATGTCTTTAGTTCTGGTGTCTTTTAGGAAATATAGGCTTTGTAATTGTTAATACAGATCTCATTTGAGGCAGATTTACCTTACAATTCTTTCTCAATTTATGTTCAAAAACATCGTCATCATAATGACGCTACAATTTTTTAACATATGAGAATTTTATTAATATCTTTGCTTTATAGAATTATTAGCATTGTAACTGCAAAATTCAGGATTTCAGTTCATATATATAGTTCATATTCAGTTCATATATATATATATATATATATATAGATGTAGAGAATTCTTAGAGCGAAAAACTTAAGATTAGGCGAGAAAAGTCCTTCTAAAAATAAAATTTAGGAAACTGATAGTATATTTATATATAGATAATTATATCTTCTAATGTGATTACTGAAAAGGTAAAGAAAGCATATGATAAGATTATATAGTTTTGATTACTATCTAAAGACATTTTTCACTATATTTCCATGTTTTTATTAAACTGGTTTTTGGAATATGTTAGTCAATAAGCAACAATGAATATTTTATTTTTAATATATCTGTATTTTTTTATTTATTTCACAAAAAATACATTTTTTCAGATACTTAGCTACGACAAATTTTGAGCCAACTGGTGCACGATCAGCTTTTCCTTGTTTTGATGAACCTGCTATGAAGGCTACTTTTCAACTTTCAAAGCACATGATGAAAATTACAAAGCTTATTTCAACTCTGAAGCTTTACAAACTGCTCCATATGGTGGTGGGTTTTCTATAACATCATTTCGCAAAACTCCTAAAATGAGCACATACTTGGTTGTTTTTATGGTTTGCGATTTTAACGAACGCCAAATTACAAACACCGATGGTATAAATGTAAGTAGTTGTAAAGTGTTCTGTTTAATTTATTTAAGCAAATTTTGTTCTATTTTTGTTCATAGTCTAATGATGGAATAAATACAACCTTTTTAGTACTTTCTTATTATTGCAGCTCCCATTTGTAAACATCATTTGGCACTTATCGCCAAGTTTGTGTTTACTTTTCACATACGCATATCTTTTATTCGCGATAGCTTTTAATATTGGCATCAAGAATATTTTCTAGTCCCAAGGACTTCTATCTTATGAACTTCTCAAAGTAATATTTTTTTATTCCACTACTGAAAGCCCCGCAGTCTTTCAATATTTTGTAAATGAGAAGCTGGTATTATAGCAACGAAATGAAATTTACGTTTCACAGCCTTAATGTCTCTAAACTCGATTTAGAGTTTTTCTGTTATACAATAGTCTTAATAAATCGTCGATTCCCTTGTTCTGCATAATCTGCCAAATATCCAGCATTGTGGAAGAATCCAGCTGATTTGTTTTTCCTCGTACAACTTTTGTTTATGTCCACAATTTCAGAGCCCTCTATTCGCTTATTTAGCTGTCGGATTAGACGCAGAGGATACATAAAACTATTCACTCAGTTGCATTTTCGTAAAAGCTGAGTTGTCCCCCCTCCTCTGAATCGATGTCAGCTCCTCTGCAATAAATAAATTGCTGGAGTTATGCTGTAAACTGTATCCTGAAACTGCTGAACCAGATGCCAAAACCTTCGCTTGTACCCTCTCACATTACACCTCCAAATTCCTTTGTTGAAATGTAGTTTTGGTCAATCTTCGGATTATAGTAACTTGGCGATTTTTTGGCGAAAATTTGGCGATTAACCCTGTTACAGCAACCTGCTAGTTTTTTTTTTGGACGCCATTTTGTTTTCACGAAGTAAAGGCATGGTTTTTTTTTTTTTTTTTTTTTTTTTTTTTTACTCAACGTTTTTTTCCCATAATCTGCTAGCCGCATTACGCTTATGCTAGAACTTTTATGGAACAAAAGTGCTTAATCATAACGAAGATTTGGGGCGAAATTGGGAGAAAGTGCAGAATCGCCCACTGCTTGCCGTGTTTTTAAGAATTGCACATACACGGTATCATCCATGTACACGTCGATCTATTTTCACTTAAAAAAACATCCCAGAATTGCACAAAAATGGCATTGCGCACACTCTTGACTTTATCCATGTACACTGCTAAAGTCCTTGTTAGTAACCTTTATCGCCTTACCAAAATGTCACCAAACTACCTGTTACCATATTCCAAAGAGTAGCTGTAGTTTTTATTTAATAACCGTTTTCGCATATTCGAATGTGAGGTAAAATGAGTCTTTGTTGGTAGGAACTTCCTCACTTCTCGTTCAATCAAGCATTCTTTAACGCATTTTTTCTTTTCCTTCCTTCTCCTTTTCTTTTCTTTCTTTTTTTTTTTTAAGGATAACACTTTAACACGTCAAATAGTTAAAGTTCTCGTGACCAGAATTTTGAGTGACTGTGAATTCATATAAAAAAGAAAATACTAAATATAATGCGTGATTTACGGGCAGTTGTTCCTGTCACGAGCAAACTGAATGAACGTCGTTAGGAGTGCCAGCTATTTGAATATGGTTTACGTACGCGATTTATCGATTATCTTGGCGCCATTTAAAAACGGAGCAGTAATAATAAGGAAGTACCCAACTTTTGCGCTCGAAATACGTGATATTTTATGTGCATATATGTAATCTAAAACGTTTCGCATGCATACATTTGAATATTAGTTTTATGTTATTTGAAAAGAACTTTTTCCAGCCATGTTATTTTTGTTTGTAGTTTGATCTTAATCTCACACACAAGGGCTTACATACACTCTTTTTTATTTCATGAAGCAAATCCTTTTGATTATCGAGTTTCCTAAACCGTACAAATAATTCATCCTCTTCTATGCTGATTCTGAAAATTTACTTTACTTTTATCTTGAATTTATGTTTGAAAACTTAATGTAAAGTTCAAACTGAGTCCTCTGTAAAATAAATCTTGGAAACTGAGTGGGAAGAAGAAAATATAAAAAAGATCGACTAGAATTGCCTCCATTTAGGATGTTTTTACTTATAATCGGATATTATTATCGAAGGATTTTAATTTGCGTATATTTCGTTTTATGCGATATTGCATTCTCGAGATGAAATTACTATTGTTAATGGAATTATGTTCCAAATATTAAATGAAATTCTGACTGATTATATAATCAGTTTTATTGGTTAGCGTTTTCACCAATATATTTATTACTTGTTTTTGTTCTTAAGTAACAAGATCTTTCTAATAATGAACGTAATATAAATAGTACAGTGTTGTAAACTTTAATCAAATAATTTAACTTCATTAAAAGCTGAATATAATCGGATTAAAATTACAGTTGTTTAGTAATTCGTTCAATACTGTCAGAGAATTTATTAATGAAATTGTGAGAAAATTGATTGTGGAATACTGTGACTAACTTTTTTTCTTGATGTGACTTCTTCTCCCTTGATTTATAGAATGAATAATTTACTGTCGTTTTAGAACTGCTTGAGAATTTATACATTTGTTTAGACTATTAGTTGTATGTTTGTATACAGCATAAATCACAGTAATTTTTTTGGGGGGGATGTCTGATGCCTTGAAACTCAAAATCTAGCCAGCATAATTTCCTTGGCAAATTTTTAAATTATCTCTAAAAATTTGAATTGTTTATTCATTGCACCTCTAAAGAAAAGAACATTGCGCTTGCTCCAGCAAAAAATCCAGCAAAAATTTTAGGGAGGTATAAGATTGGCAATTATTAGTAACTCAGTTACAGAACTTCACTGATTAAATTACATGTTTAGAAAATAAATAGTTCACTGGTAACGTTACGAGAAAAATTATTATTTTATTGACTGTTCTTTCTCTATTCTTTTTTTAAGTATTCTATCTGTTTTAATAATATTTATATTAAAGTCCAATTTCAGATTCGAGTTCTTGTTCCCGCTGAGCATTATGCAGAAACTGAATTGGCTTTAGAGATGGCTGCTGATCTTCTGCACTTTTATAAAACATTCTTTGATGCCAGTTATCCATTGTCTAAATTTGGTAATGTGCTTTATTGCATATACCGTAAAAATAACCACAAGTACATTCATAATATTCGTAAATAAGCAAATTAATTTTATTAGGAATAAATTTTAGAATGTTTCTTTGTTCTGAAACAGCTCTTACATAAAAAAACACTAGTTTTAAAAATTAAGACATTATTCAACAGAAAATCGCAATGTCTAACCTCTTATAAAATACGGTTATGTGCCGCAAACGAGATGAGAATGAATAAGAGAATATGCAGTAATCTTCCACGTAGCTGAAACTTTAACAGGCCTATTGAATTTCATGAGTCTTCTTCTTGAAAAATATTTTAAAAAGTTATATAACTTACTATAACAAAGATAAAGATCTGATTTAATGGCTTTCTGATTTTATGTCACTATGATAATGAAGCGCTTCATTATTAAGTTTCAATCTGCACGTTTAACAGTGCAATTTAAAACTTAATTTTGAAGGAGAAAAATAATTAATCATGTATACACATTACCTCGAAATTTAATGGCAACATTCTATCATAGTTTATGGTTTATTTGAAATTGAAATAATCAGTGCATTTTGAAAATCTATGTGACCTCTCCTTGCATCATGTTTGAAGTCAAATACTTTAAAATAAATGTATATGTATATAACGGGTGGTCATAATTAAACTGACAGTGCTCACAGTGTTCTGTAGCGTGATCTATTTTCGAGAATGACGCCACATTTTGTAGGAAGATTAAACAAGACGGGGGACGAAGGATTCCGCGAAAAAAAAAAAAAAAAAAAAAATAGTTCCAAAACTCACCGCTAGGGAAATATTTAGCGCTGTGTAATAGAAAATAGAGTGTTAACAAATGCAAACTAATACGGAATAAAATTTATCGTACGTCCATTCTTCTATGAAAACATTACCTCGACAGGACCGGAAACCTGTTCTGTTACCGGAGAGAAATATCGCCACATGTTGAACAGCTTTGTCATTCCGGCACTTCAGCAAAGACAATGCCTGGGGGAAATCATTTTTATGCAAGATGGAGCCCCTCCACACGTTGCTGTACGGGTTCAACAGATGCTACGACAGAAATTCACAACAGAAAGAGTCATTAGCAGCTACTTTGCAACTGCATGGCCACCTCGGTCGCCTGATCTTATCCCATGCGACTTCTGGCTATGGGGTTACCTTAAGTCTAAGATCTATCAAGGAGTGGTCCAGGACCTGGCTACGTTGAAGGATAACATATCACGGACTGTACAGGAGATTCCTGCAGACACGTTACTTTCTGCTGTTGTGCATACTGTGCACAGAATGCAATATGTGGTCCACAACAACGGCACCCACACTGAACCTCATTTGAATGCAAAATAAAGGGTAATTTCCGTATTGATTTGCATTTGTTAACACTCTATTTTCTATTACAGAGCGCCAAATATTCCCCTAGCGGTGACTTTTGGAACTAATTTTTTTTCGCGAAATCCTTCGTCCCCCGTCTTGTTTAATCTTCCTACAAAATGTGGCGTCATTCTCGAAAATAGATCACGCTACAGAACACTGTGAGCACTGTCAGTTTAATTATGGCCACCCGTTACTTATATACATGCACGAGCTTGCATACACTTACATATTATAAATAAAAAATCACGAAAAAAGGTAGAAAATACGCGAGGAAATACAATAATTAATGAATGAATTTAATTTTAAGTTATTAATTATATGTAATAAATTGAAAAATAAAAAAAATCTGAAAGGTCTCACATTTTAAATTACGTCCAAAGGGGCGTTTCTTTAACATTTTGTGTATTACCTTTATTTATTAAATATCATGTGCTTCTCAGTTAAATCATAAAATTCAGTTCAAGAGCAATATCGCAAAATAAGTTTACAATGAGCTTATTTCTGATACATAGTCTCGCGCGCTGGAGATAAAAATGTTTTTTTCTGTACAACGTTTCCCTTGCTCGCTTTGTAATCCTTGAGTTTGTTAATCAAAAATTCGTTAATGTTTTACAAAATATGAAATCGATAGTTCCAAATTCCAAATTTGGGCTTCCATATGCCCATATTTCGCCGCAGGATTACGTTATTCAAAATTTGATGGCTCTCTGTACCGTTGTTTTATCACAATGCGAGAAACATACATACATTTATGCAGATTCTTCATTATTTAATTTCTTTAAATATAATACAGGGGCGATAATATTTGGTGGCAAAAATTTGAAAAGTGAAATAACGCTTGTAGTGAATCAACGCAAAATCCCAAAACGAAATTAATATTCCTTCTGGGCAAATTGCCCCTTTGTACTAGTAATACAGAAATTACCTAAATTATAAATTTTATTTTCCTCATAATGTAACCTTTATTTTCACTGATTTTAGTTTACAATTCTGAATTGTTTAAAGACGTCAAACTATTTGATTTCACTATATTAAAAAAAAAGAGTTAAACTGTGGGAAAAAACCTATTTATGTTTGAAATGTAATTAATCATATATTAAATAATTACCCTTTTTTATGTTTTCTATTACTATACTCACAAACCTATACGAGAAAAAAAAAGCTACAGTAATTAGATCACAATGAAAGGATGATCACAATGAATATTGCATTTATTCTCTTGATTTAGAGCATTAAAAATAGCGAATTTGTAACTGATGTTTTTAGGATTACGCTATTATTTACAGTATACTATGTAATGAGGATGATTGATTTATATAATGTTTCGGACTTAATGTACATTAGTTAACAGTATTTAATTACTAATACATGTTGTCCAATGATCTTTATAAAAAATGTAAAATAGATGTGGCGGCTGTTCCTAAATTTGCTGCTGGAGCTACGAAAAACTGGGGCCTTGCAACTTTGGCGATGAACAGCGTTTTAAATAATCCTTCAGAAGCATCAACTGAGAGCCAAGGATTGGTGGCTTCTATAATATCTCAGAAATTGGTTCATCAGGTATGTAATTAAAAATTTTGTTTTACAAAGTATTTTCCCATTTTATTTTACAGCTTTTCTTTGCACATTCTGTATGGCATAGTATAATGAAAATTTTTGTTTCCTGTCAAATATTTGATTAAATACAGTTTAATTATCTAATATACAGTTCAAAATATCTAATATAATTTCAAAATAGTCCTAAAAATTCTCGGAATGCCATTGATTTTATTAAACATTTAGTTTGTCAATATAAATTGAGCATTTGTAATGTGGAGTATAACATGCAGTTATTATTCAGAAAAATATATTATAACTCTCAGTAAAAATTCATGATCATTTTAGGTTACTTAACGTTTTAATCGCCACACAGACCAACATTTGGCTCAATGTGGAGGCATTAACTTGCCAATTACTGTTTGTCTGCACGCCTAATTACAATAACTTGCAATTGGCATGATTTAAAAATTCACATTCTTCATAAAAATTAATGTACCAAAACTTAAATTATATATTTAAGTATGAATAACGAACTTATACTCAACTCAAGGCAGGATATAATCGGTAAAGTGGATTTCGATAGGAATTTTTAAAAATTCATTATCTAAAGTATGTTTGAATCGATTTAATAAACTAAAATTTTAAAAAAAGCACCCGAAAAGATAAATTGCCATACGTTATTCCAAGCTCAGTAACTGAAAGAACCATTTTAAATTCATTATCAAAGCTACAAACGAATCATTCATTATTCTGAACCTCTATACACATTATAAATAATCAGCTTTGCTTAATAAACTATGAATAATTTGTATATTACCTAGGTTTCTGAGATAATTAATGTAGGTCAAGATTATTTCAAGCAATCATGTATAAATAAATTAAGAATTATTCCTTCAATAAATGCATTTTGGAAATTAGAGCTGTGAGCTCTTAGAGCAAGCAGACTATAATAAACTTAGGGTATTAGATGTAGATTTATGAATGCCATTCTGAAGAATGGTCATCATGAAGCTCCATTCAATTAGTGATAGTCGGCGTTGTGCAAATACATGTTGCTGTTATCTCATTTCTGCTCATGCAAGAATGTTGCCATAGGTATGTATAGCTGGAAATATAATCTTCTCGAAGCAATAGTTGGAAGGTAACATTATGATCAAATCCCGTGATTTAGACGCTTTCGATTAAGAACCAATAATATATACTTGAAGCATGGGCCATTAAATTTCAGAAATAGTTCGAGAACTGAGTTTTTCTCGCTCTGCAGTACTAAGAGTATACCAGTAAATGAAAAAGGAAAGAGTAATTGTGCAAACTATAAGAGACAGGCAGTTCTGAATGGTCATGACAGTCCAACATTCCCATATCGTGTATGAAATCAGCGGTAACTTTAGCTTAGGTGATCGATCAACTAAATGAGAAGTTCAGTCAGACATTAAACAAACTGTGCAGAAGTCACTTCATCGCATGAATTTCAGAAGGCGAAGACCCACAGGAGTATCACTATCACTGCACTCCATCAAACTTAATATCTTACATGGACCAGAGAACACCATGACTGGGCCACGTAACCAGTAGCATAGTGTGATGAGTCTCGATTCGATTGCATCATGCTGATAGTAGACTAAGATTATGGCTCCAACCTCAAATAGACCTGAATTCAGCGAGCCTGTTTGATACTGTACAAGGTCACGGCGGTTCAATGATCGTTTAAGGTATTTTCTCTTGGAAATGTTTGGGACCGCTTTTATTTGTTTTAAATACTCTCATCTTGCCGCTTTTATTTGTTTTAAATACTCTCATCTTGCCGCTTTTATTTGTTTTAAATATTCGTCTTCGTAGATCTGCTGGAAGACTACTTACAGATTTTCAAACTCTTCTGCCATCTGCATGGACATAGAGTGAAGCAGGAGAATTGCTCCTGTAACTAAACACGGACGGCTATTACTTGATTCGAGAAGCATTTCACTGAATTCCATCTGTTGAAATTGTCATTAAGGAGCCTGGACATAATTTCTACTGAGCATCTTTGGGACAACGTGTGCAAGCACACCATCCACCAGCAATGTCGTTAATTGATTTATGGCAAATTCCAGGAGTTTGATTAGTCGTACCTCTGAAACACTTGCTTAGACTTGTTGAGTTCTTGTTTTGCTGTAGGGCAGCCGTTATCGAGGGGGGGGGAAACAGCAGCTTGTAACTAATTAGGTGTCTCTAATTCGGTAGCACTTCAGTGTATGAAGTTAAGGACATCCTTTTGGGGTAACTTAATAATAACATTTATTTATTGGGTGCTGTATAAGAAGTAATATCCATTGAAGTTAAAACAGTAAAGAAAAAACTTCATTTAACTTCTTTGAAAGAATAAAATATCATTGAAAGAGGATATTTTTATCAATATCTGCTTCAGGCACAATTCTTTCATATTCAGTGTTTGCGATGCCAAATTTATGTTAAAATGTACTACAACGTACTTTTTGTTTGGAAAGACTTAAGAATTGAAAACTTATAGCTGGAACTATTTTGCAATTTGAAAATATCTGTTCTATTAAATATCTGCTGTTCTATTTTGTTATTTTGTTATTATTAGAGGGTGCAAAAACAACTCTTATATGCAAATGGTCAAATTGTGCATTATGGCTGGGCCTTTTTATGTTGATTGCAACGAATCAGAGCAATATTACAAATTATTTTTGAAACGGGATTTATACATTGAGTAGTTATATTGCAATAATTACATAATGGTTAAAATCCTTTTCCGAAAAGTTTTTTTCCCTTGGTATGTGTTTGGTGAAGTACAATTGTGAGTCCATTAGATGATTTAATTTAGGCAAAAACCATGAAAGCTCTCTGACTAGCTCCTTTCCAGTTTTGACGGAGAGCATCGAATGATATAGTCTGAGGACTTCATCACCACTTTTTACAATATTGAAGTATAAAGAATGGTATTAAAATAAAGCTATGAGCGACTTCTTTAAAAAATATAATGCAATTATATAAGTATCAATGTTCATGTATGCTTTTTAATCGCTTAAATTTATACTTTAATCTGAACCTTCAGAAATGGGTTTACACAATTATGTAATTCTCTACTTTGATTTTCAAAAGATGGAATTAATAAAAATGAGAAATAGAATTCGTGAGTGAATGCAATGTTTCATAATTTCAGATTTTTAATAAATTACTTTTATTCAGCATATTAAGAATGTAAACTGATAACCATTTAAAATACTTCGGCAAGAACATTGTGAGGTAAATAAAACAACACAATTTATTATTCGGTATTAGCTAGTTAAAATTCTTATGACACATAATAATTTAACTCTTTCAATTTGCCTAAAGGAAATTGTGGACTATTTAGACGTAAATTTAGTTAATCTATTTCATTGTTAATTGTTTTGAGAAGCTGGAGTTAAAACTGAGAAAAATGTAACAGTAGAGAGATAAGATATATTTTCTCGACCCTAAATCTATAAAGTTGTATTTTATTATGCTTCCTGGTTAAAAAATTCTTTAAGATTTCAGCACTGAAGCTGAGAGTATGCTTATAGTTCAATAGCTTGAGGCGGCGTATCATAGCCGCAATAGTCTAATGAATGAGTGTTACACTCTAGCTGAACGCAATGAACATTCATGGCACCACTTACAACTAATCATCAGCAAAACAACTCTTAACTTTCCAACTGCAGTTCGTTGTTGTTGGTAACTACAGATAGCGCCACCAAAAACAAAAGGTTGCTAAATATTACCGGCTTAGTTCTCAAATCTTAATGATGTACTGGCTGCTCTTCCCATTAAAGTTTTAGGACTAGGAATATTTTAATGATTATTTTTTAGAACTAAGTTGCAATTTTAGAACTATTGACGATATTAAATGCATCTCTAAAGGAATAAATTTAATGCATTTCATGTACTTTTTGCTATGTAAAGTTGTTAAATATTCCAGGAAATCACAAAAATAAAATCTTTTTTTGTACATTTAACTTATTTTTATTTGAAACGACTTTCACACTGAAGAACTAACAAAAAAAAAAAAAAAAAATCTTATTTTGTATGACTAAAAAGATTAACAGAAATGTGCCTTGGATTATTACAAACATTTTCAAATATTTAAATTAAACTCATTTATTCTCTTTCTGAAAACTACATTTCTATAAAGTTAAATAAAGCATTAAACCTTTGCTTTGATTTGCAGTGGTTTGGAAATTTAGTAACTGTGCAATGGTGGAATGATTTTTGGTTGTATGAAGGTTTTGCAAGTTTTCTACAAGCAGTGGCTTTGGATAATATCAGACCAGATTGGAATACGGTAACGTGTGACTCGCATAATTCTCATTACTGTCAGATTTTCCCTACTACTTTAGTGTTTTTGAATTAAGAATTTATATAGCTTATTTATAAAAGAAATAAGTATTGTTTAAAAATAATTTTAGATACAAAAATCACTAGAATGCAATTATGGTACACTGCTCAAAGGGGAAAAAAAAGGGGGAACAGTTTTAGTATAGGTATTTTGATATGAGATTGGACTTTCTCTCCAATGACAGGCCAATTTTTTTCCATATTTCGATTCTACTACTCAAATTATGCCTAAATTTTAAATTTTGTAAAATTTGGTGTGACATTTACGGAGAAATTCAAGAATTTAACTTTGCCCATTTTTTTCTGTTTGTGTCAAGACTAATTCACTTGGCGAACCACTTAATTTATAGTAACCTATCTCCCTTTCCTTTTTTTCATTGCAGACGAGCAGAAAAAAAGGTCCATACTTTCAAATAATTTTAACAAAGTGCGTAAACCACGTTTGGCGTACTATACTATCGCTTAAAACGCGTAACACATACTATCGCTTATATGCTTAGAACAAATATGCCAAATTTTAAAACGCTGTAATATGCAAATTCATATATATCTTAAATTTTGAATAAAAATCTTTAATTTTTTGTAGGTCTACCTAGAAATACATCTACTTTAAGATGATGTTAAAAATTTTATAGGTTATAATTAATAATGTTTTTCGAAAAATTTATCAAAATTATTCTAAAATACAAATTTTAAAAATCAATCATAAAAATGTGCGAATTTTATTTGGAACGAACCTAAATTTCGAAATGTGAAAGAAAGAATCAAATAAGTTTAATAAAAGAAGAGATATTAACAAATATATACCAAATTCAATTAATAATGAGGAGCTAAAATTTTGAGAACTAATTTTTTAAAAACTACTCATGCGAGTTTTACAAAACTCGGCAGTTTGGCGTAATTTGAGTCGTAGAATTGAAATATGGAAAAAAAATTGGCATGTCATTTCAGAAAAAGTCCAATTTTGTGTCAAAACACCTATAGTAGAACAATTACTAATTTTACTGAATAGTTTTTCTTTCAGATTTTAATTGATTTTCTTTAATTTTGATTTGAGTGTTTCCTATTAGAAAGTTGCCCCTTTTATGGTATAATTTTGATTTAATTATTACATCTTGAATTATATATATACATAAAGAGATAAAAAATAAATCAAAGATGGTGCAACTAACTAAATCAAACGTGAAACAAAAACAAAGCAACATAATAAAACAACATAATATAATGATATAAGTGTAACAAATGGTTGAGAATTTCTTGGTCTTTTTAAAGGAGCAGCCGAAAAAATTTCTGTAGGAGAACCGCGTTTCTGAATTACATCTGGATGAATGAAAAACGAATCAAATATGAGTCTAATAATAAACACATGTAAAGAAATTTAAAACAAAATTACAAGGCAATTATAATTTTTTTATAAAACTATTGAAGAATGCTTTTAAAAATTAAGTGTAAAATTTTTTAATAGTTTTTTAATGTCATCAAGATGTAATCTAGTCTAATGTGATCTCCAGGAGTCATATAAATACCGTTCAAAATTCGAAATCTGGCTACCCATTATGCGGAATGATTTAATATTTTGATTTCCAGATCACCAATCTAATAAAAAAATAAATCTATAAATAAAATTAAAATAACAAAATTTGCCTTCCCGGCTTAACAAATTCTAGGAATAGAGAACATAATACTCAGTAAAAGAAGGCATATGTGTCATAAATTGCTGTTTTTCTCGCCGCTAATGATTTCCTGCAGCATGCCAATTTGAAATAGCTACTGGCTGGGAAGTTACGCTATAACATATTTAGGAATGTGCGTGTTTTTCTATCTGATTTAAACAATAAGTGAAGCTCGGTGTTGCCATGTCTACGTGTCATTTTACTATATTTGAACCAATGATCTAAAATTTGAAAACTCCCCAAATTTGGAATCGACGAATCTTGGATTTCGTAGTGTATATGCGTGTATCGTTCTTCTCTCAACAAACCGAGCAAGAATTATTTTGGTATCAAAATGAATTGCTCTATATCTGCAACATTTCTAGAATTGTTTATGTCCTTTAAAGAAAGGGTAGTAGGATAAATAGACCAGATAAATGGAGGGGAGGTTGAACTTTTAATTACATTGCGATAATTTGTCTATATTTAAAAATATCTCATTCTTGTTTTTCGCAGTATATCTGATAAAATCATTCTGAATTCTATCATAACAAACGTTCTAAATCCTATAAATCATAAAGTTTATACTAAGTATTCACTATGTAACTGCAATGTATATTGCAGTATGTAAATGCAATGTAAATTCTTGTGAAATTTTACTTGAAATTTCTATTTCAATTTGATTTAAACTTATTTTGAACTTTTTTATTTCTTCCCCCACAGATGGATGAGTTTGTTGTAGAGACAACTCAAGTTGCACTCTCTTTGGACAGTCTTCAAATTTCTCATCCAATAATAACTGATGCTACAGATCCTCTTGAAATAAAAGCAGCATTTGATTTCATATCTTCTAAGAAGGTCTGTTATTTAGTTTAAGTCACATACAAGAAAATTTATTTTATACATGTCACATAAAAAACCGAGCAAGTTGGTAAAGTTTATGTTGTAGAAAACTTATTATGATAGTCAAATAAAAATTCATGCTGAGAAAGCATTTAAAATTTCATATTTATTTCCATTTTGGTGGAAAAGGAAGTTTAGATCAAAAGAAGTAATAAAGAAATACTTGAATATACATGGATTATAAAATTATATTGTAGAATTGTTTCGATAATATAGGTTGTAAGGTTATTAGATTTCATTTAAAAACTTTATAATATGCAGCTCAGTGTAACTACAAATGATGTAAATTTCTTTGTATCAGTTCTTTTATATTTATTTCTTTTTTAACTTTTTGCAAAGAACATACTTTGTAACTTTACCAGTTTTTGTCTATTGGGATATTAGTTTTGAACACCTAGGAATTTTGCATAGACATATAAAAAATTCTTGTTGTATAAATATAGATTTTGAGTATTATCATAAGGTATATCAATAAATATGTGTTATATTGTAAGGATCCTAAGTTTTACTAACGTTTATTTTATTTTAAATCTTTACTGTCACTTCTTATTTTCTACTTCCGGCCAGAGTTAAAAGCTTTAACGTATTTATGCAAATTTGTCTTGCTAACGCCAAGTATTAAGTTTGGCTTTTTGCCAAGCAAGAGAGAGGAGGAGTTATTAGAAGCAGGCCGCTTGCCATAGTAGTTTTACGGTTCTGGTGCCTCAGGCCAGAGGTTAATCCTCTTGATAATTTAAACGTATATCGTAGTTTAGCACTCTCTGTACTAAATACGGATTTTTTAAATAACGGCCATCTTAAAGTTAGGCACTGTAATTAAATCCAAAGTAGTTTTAGTTTAGGTTTTAGTTAGCAGTTTTATATTCTTACGTTCAGACCACAAGTGGGTGGTCTCTGTATTCCGAAGTTCCGGAAACCTCTGTAAGATAGAAAAAAATAAAGGGTTCGTATACCCTTCCTGTGGTATTGTCTACTTCACAATTTATTGACATAGCTGAGTAAGCTCCCTGTTCCGAGTCAGGACAGTTCATGTTCCAAGCAGTAAAGAGGAACACGTCCGATAATCACCGGAAAATTTAAAATAATTTCACATTACCTAAGGAGTTTATTTAGATTACAATTATAGAACATGAATGTATTTTCAACGTGTGCAGTATTTTATTCTCAGGACATTCCACTGCATCAAAGTCTGAGGTTTATCTCATTTATTATTATACACTGCTCGACATTGAAAATGCAACACAAATTGATGAAATTTGGAAAAATGACAGAGACAGCAAGCAGCAATAAGTGATCTTTATTTCAAAATGATAGTCAGAATACAGAGCGAGAACGACTCCGCGGACAGTGATGCACGAAGAAACACGTCTAGGCATAGAGTCAATAAGAGTGCGGATAATGTCCTGAGGGATGGCTCTCCATTTCCTTTCAACAATTTGCCACAGTTCGTCTTCTGAACGAGGCAGGGGCAGAGTCTGCAAATGGCGTCAATCACATCCCAAATGCTCGATTGTGACAGGTCAGGAGAGTACGGTGGCGAGGGAACATCTGTACACCTTGCAGAGCATGGTGGCAGATGCGAGCACTTGTGTTTGGGCCGTTATCCTGCTGAAAAATTGCGTTAAGGAGCCCCTGAAGTAGGGGATTGCCACGGCCCAGTACATTATCCAGGCATCGTTGAGCCTCATAGGCCATGAATACGAACTAGAGGTGACCTGGATCGTAGGCATAGCGCCCCAAACATTATGCATGTTGTCGGCGGTGGGGCGTTCCACATTATTGCCGGATTAGATCTGTCTCTACGTCGAAGCCACACACGTATGCGGCGACTGTCGCTGGTAACTAGCGGACTCATCTGAAACACGACGTTCGCCATTCGTCATCCACACACTCCAGTCCGGCCCCATTCTAAACGTTGGCGGCTACTGTGGGGGCAATGGCATCTTTTTAACGGACGCGTGATGCAGGCCACGTTCAAACCAATCGACGGGAAATGGTTCTGGTCGACACGAACATCCAGGTATCTTGCACATGCTGCAGAAGCGCGGTACAAATGACTTGCGGGGACCCGACACGTGTCGGCGGATCGTCGATCCACGCGTGCTGACGTCCCTCTGGCTGCACCTGCACCCCTCTTCTTCCCACATTTCCTGTTCGCCATAGCCAATTCCCCATTGTTCCAACCATGTTCGTCATCCGATGCACCTCTCGCATCCATGGGGATCACTGCGATTGACTTAAGGCAACCGCCCTTCTCAGTCCATCACCATACCCCTCGTAAAATCGTCTATCTACTGGAAGGTCTTCGTTACGCGGCCTGGCATTCTCTCCAATACACGGATCCTCCGGGACAAAAACCATTTCTTCGATAATTCGGTGGTGAAATAACGCACGAATAGGTCCCTTCGCAAGTTCCGTCCCTTATAGCTTACTTCACGTGCGTCGAAGAGCTGCGCAATTTACATCATAGCATAACTCAGTGACGTGCGTCTACTCTAAAATTTGCATAAATTTCTGACCACTCCTTCTTGGTGCTGCATTTTCAATGTGGAGCAGTGTATTATATGTTACCAGTTATTATACAAGGGCTTATTTTATACGAAAATTGTTTATATTTTATACAAATACCAGTAATTTTGAAAACTAACTATAAAATTCTTCTTAAAAGGTCCTTTAAAGCCATCTTAAAAACCTCTAAAAGGTACATATCGTTAACGCTTAATAGGCTAATGAAAGTGAAAAGCCCTTGAATTGGATTCCATTAAATACTATCCGATCGGTTTTTATTTTATTTATTCATTCAATATTTTACTTACTACTGATTTTATATACTTATTTCCTTAATAATATTCTCTTTAAATTATGTTATTTGCCTTAATATAAAATATTATCTTCAATTTAATTAATTGAATTAATTATTAATAATTAATTCAATTTAAATTAACTGAGCTAATGATACATTTTTAAACATAGAGTAACGTAACGTAATTTATGCTCATGGCATTATTAACTGAGCAGTTACTATTTTTCGTTCGTTTTAAGAAATTCGTTTTATTGACATAAACAAATTTTAGTCTGAGACTAAAATCTGTTTATCAATAACGATCTTTAACACAAAAATATGCATTCTGAGAATGAAAGTTTTGTTTTTAAGATATCACAGTTGTTAAACATTCAAAGAATGCTAGAATTCAAATTCGAAAAAAAAAAAAAAAAAAAAAAAAAAAAAAACCATTATCATTTATAATTTCAATATTCAAATAAGATTTAATTTTAAAGAGGAGGAAATTACAAATTTTAGTATTTTCTAAGCTTTATAAGTTGTAAGGATTATGTTAATTTTAATAACAGTTAAAATTTGAGTTAAACATTCTTTGCTGTCGATTCTTAACTTCAACTTACCACTTCCAGCCGTAACGTAGTTTAGAATCACTCTGAAGCAGAAGGAGGAAGACGGTATTTTAACCGCAAAGTTTTTCGGTCTTAGTGAGAGAGATACCAGTATTCGGCTGCAACGCGTTCGCCTTTTAGGTTTCTCTCGTAAGCTATTCCACGCCGGCCGTATGTTGATAGCTTCAAGTCTATTAACGTTAAGGGGCCAACTCTGTTAGAATCTTGATAGCTTCGGCTATACCTCTTTAGTTTAGATTAGTTTAGGCTAATTCTTAATATCCAAGTCCAAGCCGAGGTCCGGCTTTATTGTACACTCCAAGATGGAGTTTTGTTAAACTTTAGTTGGAATAATAAAGGGTTAGCTTACCCTTCTATCTTCTTGTTTCCTGTCAAACGAACTCAAGCGATTATTCGCTTATCAGTTCTTAAGACTCTTCACTTCCAAAAGTAATTAGAATTACAAAGTGAGGAACTCTACAAAGTCATGGAAATATTTTAAAAATCATAATTATAATAAGTGCAAAGGCAATTAACTGCCACTATTGCATTTGGATTTAAAAAAAGTATTTGTTGTGCCTAAATTCAATATTTGAAATGTTAACCTGCCTAACACTTTATCCCAAGATACTATATAGGCAGGAATTTAAGACTTTTATTGTTTAAAATGTTCTTTAAGAAAACAGAAGAAAGATCTCTTAACACTGTAACAGACGTTCGAAAAAAAATTTTAATCTAGCGTTGGGCATTTTTGGCATTTCCGTTTGAATTACGTTTTCCTTGCAGTTCGTGATTTATATGAAACATCTTGTAACAGAATTTCAGAATTTTTATACATTGGCTTCAAATGCTAATTTTAGAGGTGCAGAGTCTATCTTCTGCGCTTTTATCCTGTTTGGTTTGAATGGAAGTTTAAATTTCTGAAAACTGCAAGTTTTTCAGAACCATTATACTATTCAGTCAAAAGCAGTGTCCAGTTGAAGTAGTTCGCAGCATTAGGCATAGCATCCTTTCAGAAATACTTAACACTCACTCTTCTTGTTTTTAATGCAGGAAAAATAAAGTTATGAAGAGTTATAACAAATTTTGTGGTCCCTCAAAAATAGGACCCAAGACCCTGGCCTTTAAAATGTGTACAGAAATCAAACCGTTATAAACTTTCCAAAAGCAGAATAGTCTTCATAAGAAAGGTTGTGGGAAGCCTTTATTTCTGTAACATGCAACCGATCAATATACAATATGTCGGTATAATTATCTCTATGTTTAAAAATGTATCTCTTTAAATGAAGCGAGTAAATATTTAACATTAACTGAGAAGAAAATTATTTTTTCTTTCCGTCATCTTTATAATTTGTAAATATTGAGACAACTGTATGTAATTTAATTCTCTCATTTTTTAAAATAGAAGTATTAAATTTAATAACCGAATCTTATTAGAATTTGTTTTCTTATGTGCTCAAGGAGTGTCACTGAAAGTCAATATTTCTATTGATACAGGGAGCTGCAATATTAAACATGTTAGCTGGTTTCCTTGGCAAGGAAACATTTAAAAAGGGACTATCAATCTACTTGAATAAATACAGTTTTCAGAATGCTCGTGCTACAGACTTGTGGAACACACTTAGTGAGGTATATTTATATATTTTTTTAACAAAAGCTATTGAAATTCAAAAGCCTTAGGAAAATAAATTCTCATTTTAAAGTTTAAGAAGCCATATCTGTAAAGGAAACTTTCAAAAATTCAAAAGTATTCTGAAATAACAAGAAGTATTAAACAAAAAATTTTTTAATTTCAGCATTTAATTTAAAATTTTGATAATATTTTACTGTGACAATATAAAGTTATATGTAATGCTCTAAAGACTCTTCCTTCTTTGAAATGAAGACCTTTAATCAGTTTATTTTATTTTTAAAATTGTTCTTATGCCGATTAAAAAGGCTTGAAAGATAAACTTTTTATTAAAACGAAAGCAGCTTTTTTTAATCTTTGAAATAATTTCCGACACATAAAAATGTGCGAATTGTACATCGCTTTTCTTGTAATAACATATGTAGTTGATTTCTATGGGTATGTGTGTGGCGCATAGCGCAGAGAAGTCCCAGAGCTACAAAATTTTCTATATTTCTATAAGGGTTTCTAGGTAATAGCAACTGATATCATATTGATGTACTACTGTCGTCCTGTACGTGATCAGATATACGGATACCGGCGTACTCGACTTCTTCTTCGCGAAGAAAATCAAAACTAGATATTTGCACTTAGATGCATAATTAAGTGACGTATAAAAATGTCACTCTTATATATGCCCACTCAATACACATACAGACATATGAAAATAAACAAATACACACACGCACACACACACATATATATATATATACTATATACTATATACATGCGACATGCGACGGGGGACGTGGGCACCACCCCTTTATCGTCGGTTAATTGGTGTAGCGCCACGTCCACCAATATCTAGAGTTGAACCTTGAGTCTTTCTAAAGAGCAATTACATGGCCATACAAGGGCTGTTAATATTTAGTATTACATTTTTGTTTTCTGGTTACCATATTCTATGGATAACGTGATTTGCAGAGTTACATACTGATTTTGTTTCTCATTTCCGGCATACAATGCATATGCATTACCTGAATTACATTAATCTTACATTGCGTTGAATTACTTTTGTGTACAGTTACAGTTTTTATCTGTACATTTTAATAAATATACCCACATTACTTGTAGATTGCATATAAATACAGTTTGCATGTACTTGTGTCAGCCATAGAACAACCCAGCATGTAAAAACAACTTAAGCATTTTAAAAAGGACACGTATTGCAATGTAGGAAAACTGTCATTCAAGTGAATTGTAAGAAACTATAATGTAGACTAGAAACTCACAGTATAAAGACTGCCTGTATTCATACCTGGAAAGTCAGTTGCTTATAATAATGTGCATGTACTGTGTAAATAAATTTCGGCAAATTATACCGTAAGACCATATATAATGAACCGATATATAATGTAGGCATAATGAATGTATGAAAGTGCATATATCTGTAAGCAAAGTAATGTAAGGGAGTGTAATATATGTAAATATTTTTGTGTATCAGTAAGCTATGTATAAGTAAGTTATGCAATTTAAAGTAATGCAATATAAATGCAGAAATGTCTAAAAAATGCCAATATACATATGCCAATATTACATGTGCCTTACGTTACATTATTTTATATACATACATAGTCAGGCACGCCTGCTTCACATATTACTTAATTTTACCTACACTGCTTAACTTTAGGTTACATATACTTGCAGTTGTATACAGATACGTGCAGATACATTCTGATTAATTTTTAGATACAAATATTTACAAACATAATAGTCTTACAGGTTACTTATATTACATGCTCTTTGGGTACTTATTGCATAATTTTCCAGTACATGAAATAGACATTCCAATATATACATTGCTTTGCGTTAGACATCCTATATCCCTTATTCATAATACAAAACATATATGTTACCCATGCATTTTTATTAGACATTTCTGCATTTATATTGCATTACTTTAAATTGCATAACTTACTTATACATAGCTTACTGATACACAAAAATATTTACATATATTACACTCCCTTACATTACTTTGCTTACAGATATATGCACTTTCATACATTCGTTATGCCTACATTATATATCGGTTCATTATATATGGTCTTACGGTATAATTTGCCGAAATTTATTTACACAGTACATGCACATTATTATAAGCAACTGACTTTCCAGGTATGAATACAGGCAGTCTTTATACTGTGAGTTTCTAGTCTACATTATAGTTTCTTACAATTCACTTGAATGACAGTTTTCCTACATTGCAATACGTGTCCTTTTTAAAATGCTTAAGTTGTTTTTACATGCTGGGTTGTTCTATGGCTGACACAAGTCTGTATCTAAGTCGGACAGTCTGTCCATCAACTGTACCAGCTTTTTAATAAAGTGCCGCTGTTTTATCATATATTTACAGAACGGCTGGCGATTTGTTTCAGGGAGATTGATATGCAGTCCTTCTTTAATGGGCATGACGTTAGATAGTGCTCTGGTGAGCCTGAGTCGCCGCATGCACATTGACTTGTGTGACTTATGCCACGCTTGAAGAAATATTCCGGGTAGGGCCCATGCCCGGAAATGAACCTTACTAACTGTGTGTTCGCTACATTTCGGCTAGTGTCCACATAGCCGATGAAGTAGTGGGTCCTTCTTCCTGTGGTGCTTTGGTCCCATTCGTTCTGCCACATGCCAGTGGCCCTTAGGCGTAATGTCTTCTTTAAATACGAATGCGGCCATGGGATGATAATTGGTGCATCAGGCGGGTCAGTTGTTGCCTCTTTGGCGAGTTGGTCGGCAAGCTCATTGCCATAGTGGCCAACGTGAGCCTTTATCCACTCTAATTTTGTGCGGTACTGGGGGGTGCTTCTAAGATCTCTCTGGATTCCCTGTATAATTCCGAGGGATGATCTGCATTCCAAATGGCATATACGATGATAAGCTGTCCGTTTTAATGGTGACATGGCTATGCTGGTGCGAATGCAGGTAGCGAATCGCTTGTGCAATTGCCACTGCTTCGCTTTGAAAGACACTGTTATGTTGTCTTAACTGTCCCTTCCATTTCTCGATTGCGTTGTCTTGTTTCGTGGCGACATAGGCGCATCCCACTCTTTCGTCCAATCTAGACCCGTTTGTATAGATGGTCATTTCCTTTGAGTGATGAGTTGAAGTGGGATTAATTGAGATAAGTATCCCTTTGCCTTTCTCTGCTGGGTGGACGTCAAGAGGGCAGAAGTTTGTTTCGTACTCATCAGGGTAGTATGTTTCATCGTCAAAAGTAACTGCCTTCTTAAGTTGCAAAATGTGTTGGCGTGCTGCCTCCTCTTCAACCCGGATGTGCAGGGGAAGGAGACCAGCAAGTACGTTAATGGCATCGGTGGAGGTGGTGCGGTAGGCCCGTGTGATTCCCAATGCGAATGGTCGTTGTATTCTGTTAAGATGTCTGACCTTCCTTCCTTGCATTGGGTAGGCCCATACTGCGGCAGCATACGTCACTATTTTCTCGATGACTGTCGTGTACAATACCTTTTGAATATGGGGGTTAAGCCCAGATTTGAGACCATAAAAGAGTTTCATTTGTTTGGCTATGGCTGCCGTCCGGAGTTTGAGATCCTGCACGTGAGGGATCCAGGTCATCTTATGATCAAAAGTGACCCCTAAATATCTTAGCTGGTCCACTATCTGCAGGCGTTGGTTGTTAATCTTTATGGTGGGCGTCTTACTAAGGATCCTCCTTTTTTCGGAATTAAAAGGACTTTACGTACGCCTCACCTCATAAAAATTTCGTTTCATGAATAAATTATCTTGCGGAAAAAAAAAAAAAAAAAAAAAAAAAAAACCGCTTCGGATGGCGAACGGTGTCTGGAGTTACCAACACTCATATCGACAACATATCATTTTCAGAGGTGTTTTCGTAGGTGTTCTATGCCCCAAAATTAATATTCAAAAACATTTGGTAGAATTGAACATACAGGGCTCTCTGGAATAATGGTGAAGGATAAGTAATCGATGTTAAAAAATGAGTTTGATGACAGGTTTCCATTTTCTAGAAGTTTAGATAAAAAGGGTAATAAAAGAGGAGATTGTAACTAAAAATAATAGAGTGTTTTCAAAAGATAAAACGAGAGAGCCATTTTAACGTTTTTCATTGCTTAACTTTTATTAACGAAGTCTGGAATTATGGGACTTACAGGATTTGACTTCAGCCTGGAAGAAATTATAGCCAGATTCGTTTGCAGGAAGAGATTTGAGCTATTAGATACATAAGTTGTTTTTTTTGGTTTTGCTGTTACCTGGTATATTGTCTTTCTACCAAAACCATAGACTAGGAAGTTAAAAATGAAGACTTATAGAAGTTACTATAGGGCCAATAAATGAGCTGAACATGAAAGAATTACAAGTTCAGAAGTAGCAATAAAGGCGGTTATGGAAGAAATGCCTTCAGAAGAAGAGTAAAAAGAAAAATTATTCTAATCCTCTGATCCTCGAAATTTATGAAAAACGGGGTAAGATGCAAATTTCACATTGATGAAGCAAAAGCGAGGCACGGTATAAGCATTTTCAATGGTAATGCCATGCCTTACTCTAGAAACATTTAACACGTAGGTAACAACAAAGCACACTTGTACGAAGTTTGAATGAAAAGGAGGCCTTTAAAAATCGAATGGCGCTTGGAGACAAAGAAAAGATGAAAGAATATGCTTCCTAAAGAAAGTTATTTTATGTTATTATGGAAGGGAATTTCGCATCTAAGCAATAACAACTTCCTCATCATTTTGCACTTATGCTGACACTCTCTTTCATACAAGTACAGTAAAATTAAATTAAGGTTTTAAGTATTTTATCTGTTTAATATTATGTTCTTCTTTTTTATATATACATATTTACTGATTTCCATTGCTTTTGAACTTAGGCTCAATTAAGTCTTATTCTAAAGATTAAATATGCAATCACTTGTAGTCCAGGAGCGAATTATTTAATTCTACATTAATTTTTGTGTGGAAAATTGTTTTGATTTACGAACATTTCGAATTACAAATAGTATTCAGGTACGTGTTAAATTTAGGATCCGAGGTTTTGCTGTATATATAATGTACATAAATTTACTAATTTACTTGTTTGAAACACGTATTCTCTCTAAGACGAGGCGAATTATAGTAACCCTCGAAATTTAGCTTTTAAGAAGTACGAAAAATGATTATATCTTATAACGCAAGAGTTTTTGAAATTTCATCTCGTCAGTGTATACTACTTTAAAAAATTTTCACATTTAAACTTCTCGCTCGACTTTTCTTCAATTAATTCTATTTTACTGTCCACTTACTGTAATTTGTGAATACATTTTTGAAATAAAAATGTGAAATGCAAGATCAAGATATAGTTTCACTTCAAAACATAAAAGTCATCTTTGTTTATCCACTCAAATAAGTATTTTCTTCTCAAGAGAAACTTCAAGAAAGAATTAAATCAGAGATCAGCGGTGCTGTAATTTTCTTAAGATTCAGAGACTATATGTATAAATAATGTGTGTAAGCGTACACAAAAATGCAATTAAATTAAAATCTAAAAAACTAGGATATAATGCAATTTAAGAACAAAAATAAGTTAAAATTGATATGACAGTCAAATAGAATTAAGCACTTTATTTGATATTAAATTCCTAATTTTAATTTTTAGGTTGATCCTTCACACATAAATGTGTCACAGATTATGGACACATGGACACGTTAGAAAGGTTATCCTCTTATTACAGTTACACTTGAACACACTGTAGTGAAAGTCAAACAACAAAGATATCGAGCAACTGCTCTTGAATCAGATGATGATCCATCGACAGATGAGTCTCTTTATGGTTACAAGTGGTTTGTTCCTATAACGTATGTTACTGATATCTCAGATAAACAGAACATTTATTGGCTGAATATGACTGATGGTATGATATATAAAATATTGATTAAGTAGATATTAAGCTAGCCGTAATATTTTTAAAGGAAATTATGCAATTAAATTTTATCCAAATTAGTTTATTAGTAAATATAGTAATATTCTTTTAAATATATCCATTTAAGTTACGAGTGGTAATGTAATGTAATATACGAATGTGCTGCAGCCTTCTTGCTCTGTAATAATCTGCCTCATAGTTAGCGCAGCACAAACAACACAGATTAAAACAAAAACATAGTTAAAAACATTAAATCAAAGTTCCTAATGTTGTTCTATTGCCATTTATAAAGTTTATCAAATTAAACTCTATCCTGTGACAGTAGAATTTATTTATGTTACCATGTTTTTTCTAACATGTCGCAATAATACGCAGTATTCGACGAAATGTCGTGCATTTCCCTCAGCATTACAAAGACTATTATTTTGGAAATTAAGTCTTCTTAGGTACTCCGGGAAACGCCCGTGTTCAGTAATTATTTCATTGTAATCAAAATTACATATCATTCTGATATTTTTAGAAACTTCAAAATTCAACAAATAATCTTTCTTTTTTCTCGAAATGTTTTATTTCTCTTTCCAGCAATCATAATGGAGGTCCTTGATGTTACCAATAACAATGCTTTTTGATTCCTGTATATCGAACGCATTCTCGGCATTATCCATAGCAGCCTCTCAGGACAGCTTGTCGGCCCTCTCAAAGCCTATTACACCAATATGGGCTTTCACTCAGTCCATTTTCACTTCCTTATTTTTCAACGTTTACAAGGGAATTTTTTACATATGCTATGTATGTTTTATATAAGTGGTATCTGAACGGACAGGAATTAAAAGTAGTACATTCCTTTTACAGATGTAGCTAATTATTTTTTGCTGCAGATGACGAAAAATAATTACCATATGAAAAAATTTAGTAAACCTGGTCACAAAAGTAGAACTACTTAGAACTAAAAGTAGAACTACTTTATAATAAAGGAATTTATATTCTGATTTAAATAGTAATCCTAAAAGGGTTATTAACATAATGCAATAGTACCGGTTGGCATATTTCACAAGTGCACATTTTTGTAGCCACCGAGGGAGTGGCTTCTAGGATCGGCCAATGGGCATCCAGTAATATTTCTGTCATGTCACATGACCTTTCGCGTGCTTTAAGATTTAAGCAAGATGGTTGAACATATTTTGCCACGCAGTTTTCTGTACAAAATAATTTAAGCATCGTTTATTTCTTCTGAAAATTTTCATTGCGATATTACGAGGGCTATCCAGAAAGTAGATTACGTTTTGGAATAAAAAAATAAACAAAGTATAGGAAACAAATTTTATTATATACAGATGAAAGCCACACTCAAATACTACTTTTCTACATAGTCACCATACAAATTAAGGCATTTATCGTAGCGATATACGAGCTTGGAAATTCCTTCGTCGAAAAATTCGGCCGCCTGCGCCTTCAACCACTTCGTTACCTCTTCTTGCAGCTGTGCGTCGTCATCAAAACGCTGCATAGCCAGCCACTTCTTCATTGCTGGGAATAGGTGGAAGTCGCTCGGTGCCAGGTCGGGACTGTACGGCGGATGAGGAAACAACTCCCACTTAAAAGATTCAAGAACTTTACGAGTGACATTTGCCGTGTGGGGCCGGGCGTTGTCGTGAATCAACAAGATCTTAGAGCTCAACATTCCTCTGCGCTTGTTTTGAATTGCTCTTCTGAGTTTTTGGAGAGTTTGGCAATACCTTTGAGAGTTTATTGTAGTGCCTCTTTCCAGGAAGTCCACCAAAAATTACACCTTTTCTGTCCCAAAAAAACAGTCGCCATCATCTTCCTTGCCGACATTGTTTGCATGCATTTCTTGGGTTTTTGGGGAGAACTTGTGTGCCCCCACTGCATTGATTGCAATTTCGTTTCACAGTTCACATGTTTCACCCATGTTTCGTCACCAGTAACGATGCGATCGAGTAAAGAGTCACCATCCTTATGGTAAGCGTCCAAAAAGTTCAACGCTGCAGCCATTCGCTGATTTTTGTGGTCCTCTGTCAAGATTTTTGGAATCCATCTTGCACAAAACTTGTGGTAACCAAGCTTTTCGCTGATGATTTCGTGCAACAAACTTCGCGAAATTTGTGGAAAACTCAAAGAAAGTTCCGTTATTGTGAAATTTCGATTTTCACGGACTTTAGCATCGACTTTTTCGAGAAGTTCGGCGGTCACTATGCTGGGTCTCCCACTTCGATCTTCGTCGTGAACATTGGTTCGGCCATTTTGAAATCTTATGACCCACTGACGCACTCCACCTTCAGTGATAATGTTGTCCCCATACACTTCACGAAGCTGCCGATAGATTTCTATCGGTTTACAGTTTTTTGCAGTCAGAAACCTTATTACTGAGCGCACCTCGCAGCTCGCGGGATTTTCAATTAACGCAGACATTTCAAACCGTCACAGTATCTGAACGGAGCACAGCACGAACCTCTCACTAGCACGGCTAGATGCAGACTGAGCTGCGCAACGCTCTGACCCCAAGATGGCCGCGCTAGCCCCGCCCCTAGCGGACACAGACGGAAACGTAATCTACTTCCTGGATGGCCCTCGTAGATCAAATATGAGCAATTGTGAAGATTTCACTACCTGGTTGTAAATATGTAAATAGAAGTCAGCACTTCGTATTGCTGTCTATGTAAAAAAGATGTTCTAAAATAATAGCCAATGCAGAATTTTATTTTAAGTGAATTTTTTTGTATACGAACTAATTTGCATTCGTATATATTTTGTGTGTTCAATTTCACATTTAATAACTGCTCACTCTTAAATGTACTGTCTACACAAGAAGTACTCCTCAAACAGAATGAACTTATCTTATTCAGAACGAATATATTCAATTTATTCACATATAACTTTTAATTATAACAATGGATATAATCAGGTTATACGCAATATGTATTCTGATTATTACACTTTAAAAATCAAAAGAGTGCAAGCACTGAAATAAGAAAACACTAGATTCATTGTAACACTTCCAGTCTTTCTCAGATCAATTAAATAAATAAAAAAAGAAAACTATACACTTGAGTTCTCTTAATCCACAGGTGTTAGTAAATGCATAATATTCGAGGCTAATAGTAGCTTCAGTTATTTTCTCGATGTGTGATAAAAATCGCGAAAGTGAAATGTCAGCGATTAATTAGACTCATAAAACAAAAGCACTACGAGATTTTCTACTATTACACCATACATTTATAACTGCGAAACAAATGCAAATTAAGACAAACAACATACGTTCACATGCACGAAGATTTAGCGTCACAAGAGCAATAGAAGCTCATTGGTCCATTTTCGAAACCCCTCCCTCAGTAGCTACGCTGATGTGCACTTGTGAAATAAGCTACCGGTTGCATGTGCAAAATTCTAGGTATTTTGAAATTTCAAGAGAGAATTGTTGATATTGCTGTAATAAAGAAGAACTGCATATTTAAAGAGAAATCTTTTAAGTTTTAGCAGTGTTTTATTTAACTGACAAACCATATTTTTATGCCTATGATATAGTTCTTCCTTAAATTTATGCTTATGTTTGTTTTTCCTTTACGTTGACACATTTATTCATTTAAATAATGCATTATAAAACAATAAGTAATGCCTTAAATAGCAGGTCCAGTCGCATTTTATCTGCTTTCCTTCAGATAGTTATTTCACAATACGAATTTTTGATTGAACTGATAAGAAGGTTAAAAATTATTCTTTAGGTGAATTTACTTTACCTGTTGAAGCAAAATGGCTAAAAGTAAATGTCAATCAAACTGGCTTTTACAGAGTTATGTATGATAATGATCTATGGAAAGCTTTGACCGATTTACTTCATTCAAATCATAAGGTAAAATATTTTTCATTTGCATTTTCTGTTACAGAAATAAAACATATTAATTGCAAATGTTTTGCATGCAGATTTTAACAGAAATATTTGCTTTAACCTTAAAAATATAATTTAGATGTACTAAAAAAATATCTGATTTCTAAATTATAGACTTTTTAGAATAATAATCTAATGTTCTGAGTAGCAGATATTTGCAGTTTTAATAGATATAGATGATTACCTTTGAATTTTTTTAAATTTTATTTATTATTGAGTGTAATGCCAGTTTTTTAGAAATGCATCTATTGATCTTATGCAGTTTGCATGCACAGAGCGTAATCACAAAATAGTTAACTAAATTAAATTTATTTCCTCGCTTATCTGTGAAAATTACTCGATATTGTAAAAATTCTATAAAACGTTTAGTAGCTGTATCTTAGTATATCTTTGTTTAAGTAACAGTGTATGAATGTAATAGTAATGGTTAATTAATGTTAATAATAAAATTGTTAGTAATAAAACCAAATGATTAATTACTGAGTTATGTAGGTTCGAAATAGCTTTTATTAATTATAGTAATGCTGCAAACGTTCTTACATAAGTTAGATTCATTATAAATTAAATACTAATTATTTAATTAAATATTAATTATTTAATTTATAACGCATCTAAATCATGTTTTAGAATTGCTTTTCTCAAAATTAATTGAATAATAAAACAAAGATTTAAATTATTAAGAAGTGCGTTTATTACTTTTGTTGAATGTCTGAGTTTGTTAGAAGTTAGATTCACAAACCTGAGAGCAAAGTGAAGATCTTATGATCTGCGGAACAACAACATTCTTAATACTTGTTTTTGGGGGGCACTTGAAAAGTAAATTAATGATCTTATATTTCAGCTACGGCAACACGTTTCAACTCGCGTAGATGCTAAATGTACTTTAATGTAACGCGCGATTTTGAAAATTTTGCAAACACTGAGCTGAAGATGTAGACATAACCTGCCATAAATCACACATTTGGCAAGATGATACTATCAAAATAAAAATTCATTCTTTTAGTTTGAAATTGTTAAAGATCGTAAACAAGGGACTATACATTTCTTGCAAATATTTGAAAATACTAAGTTACTTATATTTTAAATATATAAATGTATGCAGGAAAATAAATATAAACTTTTTCATATTTAATCAAAATATATCGAAAACGCAGATTGCTTGTCAGAGTGAAACATACCTAAGAGAACCATCCAAAGTTCCAAATAATTTTGATCTCCTGTGAGAGTAGTCAATGCAGAGAATACGATTATTGTGATATATAATCCAGTATATCGATGTTTATTTACCTTCTCATAAATTTTGATTATTTTTTGGAGGTAGTTAGAAGTAGGAGGAAGTACCTATGAGGTAGTTAGAAGTAAAACGGCATAGAAAGTTTGACTGTATTTATGTTCTGATTATGCCGCCTAGATGGGAAAGAGGTGAGTGACTCTGACTACCATAACGAAGGCCTCAGGTTCGAATCTCGAAGAGGGTATGGATGCTATTTATCCGTCCCTTCACAGGAGGCAACGGTGGCTCACCTGTTAGGTCCCTCGATAATAAAGAAGTCATCGTTTCCGGCCTTAGCAGCGGTCAACGCCTATAAACGGCAGGAACCCGTCATTAAAGGAAAACAAATTCTGATTATGAATAAAAAAAGGTCGAAAATTGGGAAAGCTTGCACTAAATTGGAACAAAGTATAGTAAAAGAGGGAAACAAATTTTTGGTATAGAAAACTGCATAAAATACATTGACGATATTTAAAAAGATAGGAAATTTACAGAATGCGACATATTTAACAAAGACTTCAAGTTCTGTATTGAATATTAAAGTACTTGAATATTAAATACCTTTGAAATGGAGCTCTTTAGCATTAAACTGTAATTATATATATGACTTCCCCATTAAATAAAAAAAGATAATGTGAATTGTAACAAACAAAAAAATACTATTTAATAATATAAAATAAGAGAAGAGGAAAAATACTTTTAATTAATATAAAAGTAATTAATTTTATAACAGGTTAATCCTCAACTTTTTCCTTTTAAACACTAATGTAATTCAATGCGTAATGTTTGCACGTTTCCCATTGATATTAGACAGATTTATTCAATAACACAGTTTTTCAAACGAAGGTAGAGAATTTCATGAAAATGGTAGTTTCTACATTGAAAATTAGAGTTATTTGAAAATATATGATTTAACATTTTGTATGGTCCCTTAGAGTAAAACTTCATCTAATGAATCGTATATAATTACTAAAATGTTCATTTTGCTTTAGTAAATTGAAAAGAAAAAGTTTGTAATTTTATTTGAAACGCAAAAAATAATTTTCCACTAATTTATTATACATTATTCGAAATTCTTAAAAAGCTGTTGTATTTAAATATTTGTTTACTATTTGCCTTTTAGATTCTTACAACGGCCGATCGAGCTAATCTCGTGGATGATGCTCTCTCGTTTTCAAGGTAATTTTAGAAAGCTGCAAAAGTTTTTAATTTATTTGATTTAAAAAAATATATATGTATTGTATTTCACGTGGATCTTAAATACCGAATTCTAAATGTCATAATTAATATGAATGGAACTTTCAGAAATATAGAACTAAGTTTCATAACTAAAAGTACATGATATAAGTTTTCTTACTGTAGCAATCGGTATCTATGCGAATAATTTAATTAAAAAAATTGTCAACAAAAACATTTTATCTTCTTGTTTTTTTGCAGCAGATAATTATTTATCTCTTTTTGCAGCGAGCGAAAATTTTCTAACCAGATCTGTGAAAACTTTTTAATACTTGCCGATATGAATTATCGAATAAGCAACACACTTAGCTTAGGAAATGGAATAAAATAGTTCAGTTCTACGTTTGGTAAAATTACTTGCAAGTTATTTGTTCAAACTGCTGGTTATTAAATTATCATTTTGAAAATGGGTACATTTCGGTAAAGTTTAGCATGAGGAGAAAAATATGACAATTTTATTATTTTATGTGGTGCAAAATTTCTCCCACATATTTAACTGAAATGAAACCAAAATGCTTATGCCACGAATTTTCACTCTTTTTTATGTGTAATAAATGCATATTTTTTAACGAATATCATTGGTATAGATAATATAATATAGGTGTGGTATGTTGAGAAAGTCATATAGATGCAAGACTGCCTCAAGGAAGGATTATTATTTGTCATTATCTGCTGTCTAGAATCAGTAATAGAATGCCACAGAACAATGGTGGACCACTGCAGGCTCGCGATAATCTTTGGGTCTCCTTCGGTTCAAAAGACTAATAAAATTATTATTGCTATTGTCTATGGATTTCCCAGAGCATGTATATTTTCATATATTTTGCTTATAACGGATAAGGTCTATTTTAATTAACATGCTGTTTTAAGCTGAATCTGTCCTCTACTCTTACCTCTTCCACTAAATATCAGCAAATTATTATATTTGGAATTTATTTAATGAATGATAAGTTTCAAGCTCGAAGATGCACAAATGCAGACATTTAAGATGCTGAGACAGTGATCTATTATGTTCGAGAACGAATGGGAATTTAACATACAGTCACATAAATGGACAGTTCTCATGCTGTGTGAGAGAGGAACCCATATTAACTTTTTGAACAGAATTCTATTGAATGAAGGAAGTACTTAATTTATAAAGCAGAGCTAAGGAAAAGATGTTGATAATAAACAAATTGACTGAATCAGGACTAAAGATAATCCTGTTTCAGACAGTGGACTATTACAGATTTCTGTGAAACAATAAATACATATCAGGAGAGCAGTGAAATCCAAAGAAGCAATTTTAGAACCTTTCATCACACTTTACATTGTTACAATCAAGAATATTTTCTTTTCAATGGACGATAATGTACACATACATCTACGTACAAGCATATCTGATTACAGATAGGCTGGAAGACTGGAACAGACGAGCTAGCCTATTATTTATTGTGTTTAAATATGATTGAACTTGCTTGTGTTATAATAAAAAATGAATTGTTGGAAAATCAAAACCGTTGGAACCGCTTTCGAAGAATCGTTCTGGACCGGAACGTCTTTTTAACTGTCATGAGGCAATACCATAAGAATCGAAATTGTTATATTACAGCTGGCACATACGTGCATGATTATAGTAGTTGATGAAAGCCATTGATCCGCCTAAAAATGTATTTTTTATACCTTTGCTTGATTGTTTTTGATTTTAAAATCTTTAATCCTATCCTGTATAATGACGTATGTGCATTAATTGAAAATATTATTATTTTTATCTTATATTTTTTATCACTTTTCTATTTTACACCATAGTTATGTGCCTACCATACACCATAGTTACGTGTTAGAAGTTGCTTTTATTCATATTATTTGTTGCCTTGATTTTGCTGAGTACACTTAGTCAGGTGGATGCTTATTATTTCGTAAAAATTCTTACTTCTAATTTCAGAATTACAGATTTGAGAAAAATGATAAATAATATGTATTTGTGACAGAAATTTATGATTTCATAACCAAATAGCTCCGCATGCAAATGTACAAGTTATAATGTCGCTAATAAATACTGTCTAAAAAGTTTAAAATCGATTAAATTATATGTATACCTTCTTACGTTACAAACATGCTAAACCTAGAAGTAAATTCTTCTCCTTTCAAATTAATCTTCAACGGATCATCATTTTTGTAACCTGTGGGTTCCACAATAATTTTTTTTGACTTTACTGTAATTGAAGCATATTTAACAATAATCTCCTCAGTCATAAGACATATACTTACTTACATACTCCTCAGTCATAAGGCATAACTTTTAAATATAACTGTCCATTTATTTCATGAACAATAAAACTATTCTTTAAATATTTTTTAGTTCTGTTTAATATGAGAGATATTTTGCTTAACAAAGTATATTTAAATGTATTTCAGATCAGGAAATTTGGAAAATGTGCTTGCTTTCAATCTGACTCATTATTTAGAAAAGGAAGACCAATTTGCCGTTTGGGAAAGAGCCATTATGCGTTTTGAACAATTATATGTGCTGATGCAAAATAGTCCTCTTCTTTACTCATTATTCCAAGTATACAAATATATTTTTTAAATTTTTCCTCATTTTTTTTTCTTGTACGTATGTTTGGTTTTCCTTCGGATTAACAGGATTTGTACAAAATAACATCTGACTTCAAAAGGTGTACAGTCAAATGTTTTAATCTACAATTTAAAATTAGATAGTTGATTGTAGGTATCTGTCACCAGAATTTTATAATAATACATGCGGGTTACACTACTGTAGTCTGCTACTATAAAATACGCTCTTCAAAGCTGTTGCAAACCCCCAACCCCATTTGCAATCTCTAGTTCGTGTCATCATCAATTCAAATTTGTTTATCCACTTCGTTTCAGACTGTAGTTTTTCAAGTCAATCTTCAATTACATGCTTTTCACGAAGAGAAAGGCTGTAAATTTAAATAACGTAGACGGAAAAATTGAGCAACACGACTATTTTTCTCAGCTATAGTTCCCATAGTTATGAATAAAATCAGGGGGAGGCGGTAAATAATCTTGGTCTTCTTATTTTGAAGTAACAGTCTATAGTAGTAAAACCCTGCGACATAATGGTGACATCGCACAAAGAGAATTATAATTAGTTATGCGTACGAAATGAATCTACAGTTTTCGTTATTTCATATACGACCTTGGGGATAGTACTGAAGTTAATTTTATAGAAATTTAAGAGTATATCAACAAAAGCGCAATTACAACTCAGGAGCCACTATTTTAAATCGATGTCCTTCCAGCGAAAGAACTGGTTAATGCCTGTATACAACACAAATTAAAGTTTCTTAGTTTATGACAAAGCACTCGAAGGCTATGTGACTAAGAGAATTAATGTCTTTATGGAGGACTTTCTACTGGCAATTGGCTCGTATACACATTACACTTGCGAAAAATCACCAAAACACCCACGCAGCCAGCCCGTTTGCTGTGAGTCGAACCCCGAACAAACTACGAGAGTTCAGGGACTTTACCACTCTGCCACTGGTGGGCCACAAATGAAGGAAGACGTTAATTACCGTCTGCAGCTATCTAGTAGTACTGCTTGTATCGAGTAGAGAAAAGATTTTTTAAAATTCTATTTGGCACTCTAGTTTTGTTTAATTGTGGTTGTAAACTCAGAGATGTAAAAATTGTCCATAAAGCTGAATCGACTTTTGTATGCATAGGATATATTTTATGGGTCTGGTACGTTTGCCCGACAGAGATATACGGATATCTCATTATGTTTATCTGCTATTTATTATAATAACAGATAAACGGGTGGTTATAATTAAACTTCCCCTATAAACAGTATTCTACAGCGCAAACGGGACAGCAGTTCGTAACTGATCAGTTGTGAAGCTTCACATATGAAGCGTTATGAAGTTCTTGAAGTCATTCAACGTCGCAACACCTACACAATACACCAGACTTTTTAAACATCCCCATAACCAGAAATCGCTCGGAGTTAGATCCGGCGGACATGGTGGTCATGGATTATGAAAGAAGCGGCTTATAACACGTTTTCCTCTGTGTGCTGGAGCAATAGCGCCTTCACGGACTCATGGATATGTGGGAGTGCACCCTCCTGCATGAAAACGGTCGATGTAAGAACCCACCTTTGCTATAGTTGCGGCACAACAAACGTCTGCAGTGTGTCATGATACCGACGGCCCGTAACGAGACATGTGACAGGCCCACGTTCACCGATTTGCTCAAAGAAGGTTAGCCCAAGGAGGAATGTCGTCGTGAATCAACACTAGACAGTAACCTTTGGAGACTGTAGGCAAATATCAGTGTGGATCTCAGGATTTTTTTTAGCCCAAATGAGGCAATTCTGTGTGATAACTGAGAAAGAAGTGTGAGAAAACTGACTGCGAATGAGAGACCTTGTGGCTTGCTTTTATCAAGCAGCTTCTGGGTATGATGGTTCTTGCATGGGAAGTACTACATTATGGTTCTGAGTACTTTTCGGACGGTGCTGTAAGAATATACTGTATGTCGAGAAACTGCACGCAAGCTAGTGCCCCCAAACTCTGAAGTCTGGGACTGTGCGTCAACAGCTGTCTTGACAGCATCAACAAGTACCGGTGTGACACTTTTACTGTCTCTTCCAGGTTGAATCCTAATTTCCCCATCTCTTCAAATCTCTTAATCATGGCCCGGGCACCTTTAGTAGACATTGGTTCATGCATTATGTTCTTTCTACGACGAAATTCACGGACTGCAGCAGAAGCATTCCCCTTGTTTTCGTAAAACAGCTTCACTAATAACGCACGTTTATGTAGAGAGACTGTCATTAGTACAGCCTAAAACATCGACTTAAACATGACAACGCCTGCAAACGTTTTATACCCTAACCTGTTTTGCATAAAGGTTCCTCTTCTTCCCAAGCACGCAAATCTCGACATTTTTCTCCTACAACTGACAGCTTTTCCCTGTTTTGCCTTTTATTACTCATAATTCTTGTTCTAGATTGTTAATATCGTTTCTGTATTTCGTTTTGGTCGTTTATTGTGTTCAATTTCATGTTTTTTCCGCAAAGGCGCAGTCTGGTGGACATTTTGGAACTAACATTTTTTTTCGAAATTCCGGGAGCGCATCTCATGTATAGCCCATATACATAATTTCGTTGCTGCAATCCGTTGACCTGTTTGCGCTGTAGGATGCCGTTTATAAGGGAAGTTTAATTATGACCACCCGGTATATAATAAGTATTGAGAGGTGTCCACGGTGACAAATTGTTTAAAATTAACAGAAAAAAGCACTGTGAGTAAGAATCCGAGGAGCTCAGGGATTTCAAAATGTAAAAACGGCGCAACTGTTCCCGTTTAAAAACAAATCATTGTATGCTGTATACAAAAAATCGAAAAAAAAGTACTCACTTCTAAAGATAAGTTTGCTTTAAAAGCAATTTTATGGAAAAAGCGAACACAAACTTTCTTAACTACTATGAAATTATGTTTATAATATATAAAGCTACTATAAGCTAATTAGTGTTGAAAAGTACTTTAATGAAAAAAGATCAAAGTAATGATGCATTTATTTTTCAGAAATATATGGTAAAACTATTAAAACCAACTGTCAACACACTCGGCTGGGAAGACAAAGGAAGCCACATGGAGAAGTAATTGATTTATATTTAAATTTACATATTTCATGTTTCATTGTTGAAGTTTTTATTAAAGCTTCCTTTGCTTCCTTCCAGGAAATTACGCTCTATTGCTTTAGCAGCATCAGTATACTATGGCGACGAGCAAACTATTTCTAAAGCAATCCAAATATATCAGAATTGGATGCAGAATGGTGAAAAGTAAGCGTATATATCTGAATTGTATTAGTGAATTATTTCTTGTATAATTAATGCTTACGTAATTTATTTTGAAGCTGTTAATTGCTTTGCAATTATCATTTTATCTATTTTGCCAAAGTTTTGAAAACGTTTAGAGAAGTAAGACAGCTTTTTAATGATGCAGATCATTTCAGAGTTCACTTCATGAAGCACATAAAGATACTACTATATTTGCCTTTACTAGAAATCAATCCATTTCATATTTTATCTATAAATTTCATGTTTTATCCATTTCATGTTTTATCTATCACAAAATATGAAGATTCACACATGCAAAATAACCCCCTCCCCACTATCTAAAATTAATAAAATAAAAACATTGATATACAACAAAATGGACATTTAGAATAAATAAAAGTCTGATAACTAGGTAAGTTATCTTAGTGTTCCAATATAATTTGCAAACGCTTATTAGATGCTGAGGGTGTGTCTCCAAATTTGGCGATTCATGACTTTAGTATTACATGAAGAATATACATTAGTTAGAAGCAGTATTATGCTATCTAGTTGTTCAGCTAGACAATCTTAGTTCATTTTTAATCTTAAATTTGTCGCTTCCTCTTCACGCAGTTTGCAGCTGAAAAAGCTCCAGTTATGTTTTTGACCGACAGGTCAGCCGTTTTATTGTTGTCAATGTAGCACATGTAATTATTTTATATTTACATTATTTTATTTTCTATGTCAATTAAACAATCATTTTGGTTTGATAAATGAACCAATATTTTGCAAAAAAGTGCATTATTGATTGTATTTTATCCAACAGTTTTTGCAAAAATTCGCAAATAATGTTTTTTGAAAAATGTAAAGTTTGCTAATAATAGTGCAATATTTCTAAAAACAGAATCATTTCTATTATTTAAATCGAATCTGTAAGATATTTTCCAAATGATTCCTCTGAGTTCTTCTTAATGTGAATTTCCTGTATTTCTTACCCTCTTTTCGGGACATTTTTTAAAAGTTTACAAATATTTTGTATTCTGAAGAGTACAATAACTAAATTAATTTATTAATGAAGGAACTTTAAAATTTCATACTTTTCCGGCCTTAACATTTTATAATAATAATTTAATATCTGCAGCTGAACATCTGGGAACCATTACTGATTTTAATGGTTCCCAGATGAGTCTCTCGTATTTATGATACACGAATACTTGTTCACTATATGCACACATGGTCCAAAGAGAGGACGGCTTCAGATGTTACATTTTAGTTTTATCGCTAATAAAGTGGTCAATTATAATTACCTATTATAGCTCGTTTAACGGAAAATCAAGACGTTATCAGTTTAAATTTATAATGAATCAAGGTAGGAGAAAATAGGTTTACAATGGTTTACAGTATTTTTCTAATTTTTGTGAATCTATATAAAGAAATGCATTAATGAATAACAAATAACAATTATACATGACGAAATATAAAAGCATTATAGATCGTATTCTTTTTGAAGCAGTTAGAGACAAATTTCTTTTATGTATGATATGATAAATACCATGTTTATATACATTGATTAAAACCGATAGAATTTTATATAAATTATACACTAATCTGATATTTTATTGCCACTATACACTAATCTGAGATAATTTTATAGTATATTATTCTTGTTCAAGATAAGCCACAGGTATTAATGTGTCAATACAGGTACGTGATCATTACCTCCTAGTTTGGAAGGGCAGTGGCATATTATAATATATATATATATATATATAACCAGAAATATCTGGTAATTTACAATATTCAGTTTGTAATTATTCCATATTAATGCATTTCTGGGCATCGAACCATTGAAACTAGTGGACGGTTCAGAAATTAGAAATTAATCGTTTTCTTTTATCTCGTGGTGTGGTGTATTTAAATATGGCAAAGCACACTAGGGCTATCTGCCTGAGGGGAGGGATGCCTTCGTGGAGGACCTTCTAAGGGAAACTGGCTCGTATACACGTTACACATGGGAAAATCACGAAAACGCCCAGCCCGTTCGCGGGATTCGAACCTCAGACCGAACTACCAGTGTTAAGCGACTTTACCGCTCGGCCGCTGGTGGGCCTTCTTTTAGAATCTCGTATCGAAGACTTAGTAACTTTCCTAATTTCTCGTTAGGGTCACTGTCATAAGATAGGCGAAGATCTTACTCTTAATGCCAATAATCCAAGAAAAATATGTCTAATATTTTTACAGATTTCTCTGTTACAAAGTCCCGAGAAATAAAAGAAGAAAAACAAATTAAGCTGACGAAATTTTATGTGCTAAATAAAAAATCTTGTCTTCCTTATTCCTGTATAATATTTTTGATGTTTTAAATTAATATAATGTAGACACTATAAAGCTTTCGTTTTTGTTTATCCTCTAATAATTATCTGTAATTTAAACTGCAAGAGTTCCACCCAACTTGCGTAGTGCTGTGTACAATGCTGGTGTGAAATATGGTGGCAAAGAAGAGTGGGAATTCTGTTGGAATCAGTACCAAAAAGCACAGCCTTCTTCCGAAAGAAATCTGCTTTTAACTGCTTTAGGAAATACTCAAGATGCTTCACTGATAGCCCAGTAAGTAAATGTTTTGTCTGTTTCACATTTTATTTATTTATTTCACAGAGAAATTTTAGTTAGTTAATAGTAATATTAATCAATACTCAGGATCAACAAGACTATTGTCAATTGCTTGTTGATTAAAATTGCTATTAGCTATAAGTATAAATTAATATTATTATTGTTGTTGTTAATTTAATAGTTAACTAACAAGAATAATTTTTGTTGTTTATAAATAAATAAAACAAACATTAATTTAATAGTTTAATAGTAGTAATAGTAATAGCTAAATTTTGTTGTTAGCTTCAAGTATTAATTTATATATACTGAATAATTTCTGTTAGACATTATTCTAAGCTCTAAAACTGCATTTGCTATTTTGATATAAAACAATTTTCTGAGAGGTTTAGTGACGGTTTTTCAAATCTTTGTACATTCATCTGCAAAGCTGTTTCAGTAGTAAACGTTGATTTAATGTTCTGCTTGAAAGAGATTTGCAACTGTTAAAAAATGTTCAGCTGTTTTAGGGAATATGTTATTTTTCATATATTGATAATTATTTTATCTTTTTAATACTATATTTTTTTCTTCAGCTTTTCTTAACATTCAAAACAAAATGGTTTGATATAATGTGAAATAGGACAGCAATGGTCTTCAGTGCCAGCCATATATCCTTTGTTTATTCTACAACTGTGGGGTATATAGACTGATTGCTGGCAGGTATACTTTCGATCCCAAATTTGGTCTTAGATCGTGCTTATGATTACATAGAAGTTTTACTATCGAAAGTTATTTTAGAAAATTAGCATCAATAAAAGATACAAAGATGTGCATAGTTAATTTCGTACTTCTTTAGTTTACATCATGCAATTTAAGTATGTTTTGGTTTTCTAATATGAGAAAGCTTAATATATAAAATCTCAAAATATTTATTTGGTTATTTCAAAAATCCCCCGATTTTTCATTTAATTATCTTTCGTATGTAATCAGTAAGCGAAATTTCTGTGTTTCTCCTTTTAAAGACTTGAAAAAGAATAAGCAAGATTCTGTAAGAAAACAATATTCTCAAACTAGGCCCAAGTTTTCAACAGTTGCAGTATAGTAAAGGAAGGACACTTACACAGGAGATTTGTCAAAAAAAAATTAAATAAATAAATGAAAAATAGTTCTGTAAAAATTTCATATTTATCCCTTCCCTAAAACAACAAAATCATCGCAGTCTTCACTTGTAACTAGTATCATTAGTACTTAATCTAATTTCATTTCTTCTTAATCAAGTATTCGTGGAAATTCTATGGTTACTGTTTAGTATTATACTGCAAATTAAAATGCATATCTTAAATATAAAATGTTAACCTAAGGTTCGAAATAAATTCAGGGTGGTTATAATTAACCTGACTACAGTACTTGTTACTGCATCATGGAAAAGGGATCTCTGAAGGTGAAAAAGCAAATTGTGTTGTGGAATTACAAAGATAATAATCGAGTTCATAACAAGTGCAAGCGTTGATTTACCAAATACTGAACTATTAACCACCAGGATGAACCAGGATGATTTACCTCTTGCAGTTGATCCTTAAATGTGGTTAAAAAAATTTTAATTTTGCCCGATAACTGGCGCTAGAAAGTGATTTAAGTCAGTAAATTCTTTCTTAAATATCTTCATTCAATTTTATATCTTTGAAATGTTTTGTAATTGGAGTTTTTGTTTTACTGAGACCAATGAAAAGGTTATATTTACAAAACTCTGCTATCCCCAAAGCTGAAATTATTTATGCGATATTTTTCCTTTTATTTTGTGTAATTCTGTAATTGGTAGTCATATTTAGGACTAATATTAAATAAATAACATTCACAGCCTGTATGAAAAGAACTACTTAATTTACTCGAAGACAATAAAGAAATGCTTTAAAAAACTAATCGGAAATGTCATTATATATGTAACAATATAATAATTGTTGATGGCTGCATAGTAAAGATAATTTAAAAGTTTTTTAACTTAAATTTTCAGTATATCTTTATGCTATGGTTAAAAATATTATAAACATCATTGCGTTTTAAAACGAGTTTTTTACATATCTCTTGCAGGTATTTAAATTATTCTATGGACACCAGTAAAATAAGGCCTCAGGATAGGTTTACGGCTATTTCTGTCGCTTCTAATAACCCTATTGGTCGTTCTATAACATAGAAATTTGTACAAGAACATTGGCCTCTATTCTTGCGAATGTACGTAATTTCTTTTATATTTTAAATTATATACTACAAGTATTTTAAAATTATTCTTTTAGTTACATACATTTTATTAGAAATGATGAGATTATTGAAATATTTTATTACAAAATGTAAAATCTTTAATGGCAAATTTTGAAACTCATTTTATTTATTTATTTATTTTTTTTTTTTGCAACTTTTGCGTGAAGTATTTTAATAAAAAATTTATACGAATCGAACAATGATATATCGTGTTGTGAAAAAATGATATAATTTTCGATTTCTTTTTTTAATGAATTATTAGTATATTATTTTGAACTATTTTCAATCTTTGTAACAGAACTTAGAATTTTAATTTACTCTATTAATTCGAATATTCAATTTTTAGCATTTAACTGTTTATAATGTGGCAACAGATTGAAAACTCTTTATGATAATAAATTTCCTAAATAAAAAAGTCTGCATATGTCATTAACGTAAATGTTAATGCAAATGTTAAATTTGTCTTGAATCAGGCCTCCTACAATATTGTGTAATCAGTGTTTAAAATACTTCCAGTTCTTTGGATTGGAGAAATATTTAAGTATATTAATTCTTTTTTGATTCCTTTATTAATTAATTAGTTTAAAGGAAATAATTTTTTTGTGAGTCGTAAGCTTTTACAATCTTCACATGAATTAGAAAGTACGACTATTTACTGAACGAGGGGTGATTTTAAAAATGAAGTAATTTAAATGAGCTAATGTGCTTATAAAAATGGATAATATGATACGAGCGAGAGGGGATTTTATCAGTGTAGTAATTCGATAATTATAAAACCCTTGTGTTACAAAACTAGCCAGAATTTGGTTTTGAAATACAAAACGATTCAAAAATGATTTGCCGAAAATGCAAAGGCAAGTAGAGAGGACCGAAACAAGAACATTTTGTAACGGGAAAATTCTATGCGGAAACGGCGCGTTTAAACAGTACAGGACGTTATTGAACAGTAGGTGAAAGTTTTCTTCTGCCGTAAATCTTCATTACCCATGCATATTTCGAGTAGTATCCATCGTTACATGAAATCAATCAGAGCTCCGTGATATTCATTTTATCTTCGGGGCTGTGGATAAAGTAGATTAGCTTCTCGAAGGACATGCACCATAGCGATTCCCAGGCAACTCCTTTGAGCAGCTGCTCTGTTGCCATTTGCAGCAACATAAATGAAATGCATACTAGCAAGCTGTACATTTGTGAAATGATGTGTACCGTTCAAGAACCGAACGGGAAATGACGATTTACGCCAGAAGAAAGAATGCTTTAATTTACGGCTCAACAATTCTTGTATCATATAAATGCACAATTTCTACACATACACTCTATTAAAAAATTGGGTTATTTCGGCATCTGCCTTTTTAATCTGCCAAATATTTTTGAATTACCCTATATAGAAGAGGCATGTTTGGACGAAACTGGCTGCATTTGATGATTCTTGATTATTAATGTCGTATTTTATGTAAATATTTGAAGTTTAATAGCTATATAACAATGAAAAGTTGTTTTATGATTGTGTCTGGATTCAATTACCTTCAACCCAAATTTCTACGCTTGACGCACACTTGAAATACAGTTGACCCCTGGAAAAGTCATAACAATAGCGGAATGGTGTAGTCTAAAGGATGCTTTACACATAATACCTAATATTTTAATATTTTGTTATACAGTCAAAAGTCGTTAATCCGGACTCGTCGGGACTTCGGCGATTCCGGATTATCGATTTTTCCGGATTATAGATCATCAGTTTAAATCTGGTAAGATGGCCTACAGAAATTACAAAATTAAAAATATAAAACCGTAATTTATGAAATAAAGAACAATTATGATCTAAAGGGTATCAAAATTTACAAAAAGAAAAAGCTTAATATTTATTTGTTTACTTTATTAAACATTTCTTTCAATGTAAGTTGTTTAAGTTGCTTCGTTTCATGTGATAATACTTTCTCTTTAATTCTATTAAACAGACATAATTTCTTGTTTAGTTACAAAGTTCCGCTGTTCAAGTCCTATAATTGCTGTGTTGAGAATACCGACTAATTTGTCAATCGAAATATTTTCGTTTTCAATAACCTCTGTCACTTTCTTCACTATCGGATATCAAAGACGGAGTACATCGAGATGAAATACTACATTTAGTAAGGAATTATAAGCCAAATAAAATAAAAACATCTGCCCTAAAGATAAGGATAGTGCTGACAGATCGACTTCCAATTCATTGCGCGCCGCGGCGTCCCCCCCCGCCGAGCAGCGTGAAATTGATAAACAGATTTCGGATTTCGAAACATACTTTCGCTTTAGATCCTTTACACATTAGCAAATATATATCGGAAATTCTATTTGATATAATCGAAAGTTCAAGCTTACTTTTATAAAATTGCTCTAACAGTCTGCAAAAAATAATAAGCCGGATCCAATTCGAAGATTAAGGAACAACGCAATCTGCAACATTAACTGATTTAGATAATTTTAGCTTAGCTTATACCGTCCGTTATACATTAAACGCGCATGCGTAAACGTTTTATGCGCACGCGCATATTCGCAGCCGTAAAGGTATTACGCACACACGTAAACGCCTATGCGCATGCGTCAGCGCGACGCATGCGCAGAAAGTTTGTAGCTTTGAGGTGCGGATTATAGATCATTCCGGATTATGGGTGTGCGAATTAACGACTTTTGACTGTAGTTGTATACATTTTTCATAAAACCGTTTTGTAAGGTTCTGGTAGCTCTGAATAATAATGATGTTTTTGGCATTTAATTATTTTAATGGAAAATTAAAACATTCATTCAAATTTAACAAAGCACCATTTTAATATCTACATGAACATATTTTTTGTTTCTAGTTTAATGCTCTTTACTCATACAGGTTCCAAATCTCAATAAGCATTTTTGAAACATCATTATTTTTTATTTGAATATTTGTTTTCCCTTTAAACGCTGTTTTATATTCAACTTTTACTTTCATTTCAGTTACGGGGGATCGCCCTTTGCGATGACTATCATTATAACTGAAACTACGTCTCATTTTAATACTCAATCGGAATATAATGAGGTTAGTATTCATAATTCAGTTCTGTTTGAATATCTAGCATAATTCTAATAAAATTACTATTAAAATGGTCAGAATTTTCGTTTTATATCTGTTAACATTTTAGCACGCTTATGCATATTGATTACGAGTAAGAACTAAATGTAATAAATTTTTAATGCCAAAAATTTTCAATTTACGGTCAGAAACCTTCTTATATAAATCTGTACGACACCCAAACCAATATGAGCCCGATAATTGCGGCCTTGGTTTCCTGTTTTTCAACTAAAAGTGTTTTTTAGATATTTTCTTATTATGCATTATGTCAAATGCTAGCAATGCTTATTCTCTGAAATGAATGAAAGAGGTTTATTACATAACAGTCGATTTAGCAATGTTTAGTTAATTTTCAACCACAGAAATATTTTTTGGGAAAGAGCAATTTTGAAGATAATTATTGTTAGGATAGCAGCGATGATATTTATTACCACAGTTTATGTGTGTTTCGAATTGTTTTATATAGCAATGAATAAGTTTTAAACAGCGTTTATATTTATTTAATGCATTTTTATCGTACATTTTTATCTAATATCTGAATATATCAACCATATTGTGCACATAAAAAGCTTTGTAATAATTTTTGGGCTTATTAAGTTTAATTGTCTTGCATTTATAAAATGAATTGCGCATGTATAAGGAATTCTATTTTAGGAATTTTTTTACTTTATTTATATGTTCATTTTACCACTGTAATGTTAATTTAAAAAACATTATGCACAAAATGTCTCTGATAATGCAACTATGCTTTATCTGTCATTTTAAAATGCATCGAAGGAACCAGATTATTATTTTGAATAACAGTTATTTATGATTTAGATCTTTACTGTCACTTATCTTTCCGCTTTGCTACCAGAATGCAAATTAGATTCAGAATGTTTAAGGTAAGATTTTCGGATTGTAAGACAGAGCGTGTTTTGTTCTTTCGACGTCACGTCACTAGGTTTCTATTAGCTCAGATTGTATTTTTCGGCCTTACATATAGTTGCTGATATTTTAATTGTTAGACCGGTGAAAAGTTTGAGCCAACTTCACTTTAAATCATTTGTGTTGCCTTAGGCTACTAGTCTTAGTTTTAAATTTGAATTTACTGTTGCCTTAGATTACATCGCAACAAGTGGTTGGCTGATTACTGAGAACGAGCCGCGCATTTATGTTACTGTTCTGATTTAACAAAAAGGTTTGTTTTTTATACTTTTTTGGTTTGTGCTAAGACGTTTTAATTCTTTTCAAAGGAAGCGATAATTTGCTCCAAGTCTATTAGGGCTATGATTCCAGTTTATACTACCAAAACAAGTCGAATTCTATACATATTTAGAGTTGAAAAAGTTTTGTGCCAGAAGCTGATGATCTGTACTGAAGCGAAATGTCTATTAATTAGTCAAAAAATTCGCAGTCGCTAACTAATTAGAGCTCAATCTACTTGAAATTGAGTTCCCAACTTTGCATTGTTAAAATGCCTTTCGAATAAATATCCCTTTCTACAGTACGGTCATGTGAGTACTGTTTCCCCAAGTAACGTTTATTTGATTTAAAGACTTTAAGTTTACTTAAAATAGGAAATTAATTGCATGATTACAATAATAAATGTTTAGCTCAAAGAGCAATTTGCCCAGAAGGGCTATTAATTTCGTTTTGTCATTTTGCGTTGGCGAACCTGTATTATATTTAGAGAAATTAAATAATGAAGAATCTGCGTGAATGTGTGTAGGCCCGTATTTGGAATTTGTTTTATTACCTATTTCATATTTCGTAAAACATTAACGAATTTTTGATTAACAAACTCAACGATTTCAAAGCCAGCAATCGCAGCACCGTACGAAAAAAAATATTCCCAGCGCTCGAAACTGTGTATCGGAAGTTCTAAAGATATGCTCTTTTAAAATTATTTTGTGATATTGCCGTTGAATTGAATTCTATGGTTAAAGTGCAAAGAACGTGATATTTAATAAATAAAGATAACACACAAAACGTTAAAACCCCCTTCAGACGTAATATAAACTCAGGATAACTTTGATTATATAAGGATTAATTTGCTATATTTGTATTAATATAAATATAAAAACGTTATGCTGATTTAAATATTTTCTGTAGTAAAATAACACGAGAGCATACATAGGGATACTAAGATAACTTAGTTATTATCATTTCGAATAAAGTACTTACCTAAAATAACCTCATTATTAATTCCCTAACTATGCTTTTAATTCATTATTTTTATGCATGTTCGTACTGCTAGACTGCTAATACAATGCAGTACTAGCAGTCTAGCAGTACAAATATGTTTGGATGCAGATGTAAATTTGTATTTTATAACATGTCGGGTAACGACATACACTGGTGTGCAAAAATTAAGGACGAAGTCGAAAAATTAGCATATCAGCTGAACAAAGAGGAAGAGCGGACAGAAAGACCAATCAGGAGATTAAGTAAGGTTATGTACGGTAGCACATGCGCAGATATGCAGGTAGACGTAATGGCGGAGTGTCTGAGTAGTATAAAGCATGTTGTCGGTGTAAGATCAGTATTTCTGACAAAGAGATTGCACGCCGTATAGCAGTTAAAATCACACCGAGTTGCTGCCTCAGCGAGAAATGTCGAATAATCAATCTGTTAAACGACATCTGGATGCTTTTACCCGAGGTCGAATCATTGGGAAATTGGAGGAAGGCCGCAGTGTGACAAGTGTGGCTGCAGAGTTCGGAATTGCTCACAGCATCGTTTCACGACTTTGGAGACAATTTCAAACTACAGGAACAGCTATCCGGGGGTTTAGTAGTGGTCGTTCACGAGGAACCACACCCGCAGATGACCGGTATATTGCCTTACAGACCGGTATATTGCCTTACAGGCAGACAGCGGGAGAAAACGCTAGACACACGCACAGGCGACTGGACGACCGATATCACGTTTTACCGTGGCCAGAAGACTGCACTGTGGTTGTCTGTTTGCACGACGCCCTGTACGGTGTGTACCTCTAACGCCTGCCCATCGGAGAAAGCGTTCTTTGTGGTGCCGGGAACCCCGGAATTGGAGAGACAATGAATGACAAGAACCATCGCATTCTCATCTGGAGAGAGCGGGGAAGCCGCAATCATCCCTCGAACGTCATTGAAAGGGACAGGTATGGAGGTGGCGGTGTTCTTGTTTGGGGAGGCATCATGCTTGGTAGTCGTACAGACCTTCACATCTTCGACGCAGGTTCAGCCAACGGGACCCGTTATTGTAACGAGATTCTTCTTCCATATGTGCGTCTTTTTAGAGGCGCTATGGGTCCGCAGTTCCTTTTCATGGACGACAATGCACCATGTCATCGCACAGTAGCTGCCGAACAGCTCTTAGAGAGTGAGGATATTGAACGTATGGATTGGCCGGCACGATCTCCGGATCTCAATCCCATCGAGCATGTATGGGAGTTTCTAGGCAGACGCTTGGCAGCTCGTACGTTACCACCAGTAACGATTCCGGAGCTTCGATTGGCGCTGCAAGACGAATGGGCAGCATTGCCTCAGCAACTCATTGACACCCTCATTCTCAGCATGGGCAGACGCTGTGAAACCTGCCTAGCAGTCAGGGGAGATCATATCCTCTATTAAAGACCGGATGTTTCTTGCTGGACACCCATCACAGGGATGTTTCGGCCTTCAGTCGCATTGCGCTCCATGCTACTTTTTCAATAAAGCTTCTTTTTATCCCTCTGATTTCTCTTTTAGTAAGTGTTGCTTACATTACTCATGTCTTTACGTATTGGGGATCGTACGGTATTAAATGTGTTGATTTGGAAAGCTTTTGTACAAAGTTATATTGAAAAAAACCGTCTCGTCCTTAATTTTTGCACACCAGTGTATAACAAAAACTTTCCGGATCTAAAATCATTTATTGATATCGTTATGTTGCTAGAGTTTCTTTTAATTAGATCAATAAATTACCTTCATGCAATTTTCTTGATCTTTCTATAATTTTATGAATTTTAAGTTTATTTTATTTGATTTATTATACAACATTTATGAACTGTATTTTGAAATTTTCTAGGCTGAAGCTTTCTTTACTGTAGAAAATGTGGGATCTGGTACAGAAGGTCTTAAGACAAGTCTGGAGATGATAAAATCTAACATCAAATGGCGTGAAGAAGCCGAAGCTTCTCTTACACAGTGTTGCAACAAATTGTTAATTAGATTTTCTCTACTATGTAACATATATAGCAACAGTGAAAATGCTGAATCTGAATGACTTCTTTTAAGCAACCGTTAAACCTCCTTAAGATTTTAATTAAGTTTCTTCGTTTTGGGAAGTACATAAAATTTGAATTATTCTTTAATAAGTGTATCATGTATACATAAAAAAAAGTTTATAAACTTCACTTTTGTATAATATTTTTCTGACATACGTGCAAACATTGCAAAGAGTAAGCTAAATGTCTCTTTAAATTTCCTTTTAATCATTTAAGTACACACATTACTCACATTTTCCAGTTCACAAGCATAAGTTTTGTTTCATAGAAATGCCTATTTCTAAGATCACTGAATCTCATGTACTATATTAGAGCGAACAATATTGACTCAAGTTGACACTGTCTACCGCCTATAACTTTAAGGAGAAACCTATCCTGTGGTCCTTTATTAATACGCTTTTGCGTCCATTTGACTTCATTTAGAGGAGAAAAGTCTTCAGGCTGCCACCCATGGCGGTAGCTGAGTTTACCGCCTCTTATGACATACAAACAAATAACTGAAATATGTCAAAATGGCATGTAGGGAAATAAATTACATTTATGTTTGAAGAAAAGTTTTAATTCCAGCATTTTAAATTATAGTATTATTTTGCGAATTTTTTTTTTTTTTTCTTTCAAGACTCTCGATGCTATAGTACAGGTATACTTGATTGCTCCAGTTTTTGTAATATAGACTTAAATAAAAAATTATTTCTGAAATGCATAAACATTTATAGTTCATGAATATTTCTTAATTAAACATTTATTGTTCTAAAATACTTTCTAAATGATTTTTATTTAGAAAACTCTTTTCACAACCAGCAGCGCTTATAGTAATTGTCAGAAAAGTCCACAAATAGAATTATAGTATTGGGAACTTCATTCTGGAGATTGTAGTTTAGAAATAAATTGTAAAAATAATTAATATTAATAAATTATAATAAATTTATTAATAAATTAATAAAAAGTTTTTTAATAAAATAGTACATAAAGATATCAGTAATAAAGTATTTACAACTATTTTAGTAATAGTAATAATTAGTAAATATCCATATCATTAATGTAATTAATGAAAAGCATTTGAAACCAAAATAGGATTTGCATTAATAAATTATAGTTAAGAATAATGGCCCCCATTGTTCTGATTATTATTGCAATAATTTAAAGATTAAATCCGATAGTAGCTTAAGATGGGAAAAACAAGAAAATAACTCATTTTGATTCACTTTTCTTTTCTTTATGATTGATCAATATCTGTTTTCCATACACGTGATCAAATAGGGAGTAAATGTTTAATCCATAAGATAATAAGTATTGATTAACATTTCCTATAACTACTTCTAATTAAGGCTTCCTAAGAGCAACCTCCTTAATTTTGACTCGTAGCTTTTAATTGTAGACTGGGATATGAGCATAAGCTCTACCTTTAAACAATGGGATTTTTTTTAAACACTGTGCAATGACAATGCCTAGTAATAATAGTTTTAGAGTCACTAAGAATCATTTTCTGGATTCCCATACTGATTTTTTTCCAAGAGATATTAAAAGTTGCAATTGACGAGTATGAGCAATGCATAATACATACATATATAACGTAAGCATACCATAAAGAAAAATGAACCCCAGCAAAAGCTGATCGACTGTTATTGAACTCCAAAGAGGGGTTTATCAGAGGGAAAATGGCAATTAAAATTCCATTTAATTGATTTTAATTATTTATTTACTGTATCGATTTATTACTAATTGTAATGGATTGGAGTATTTGAATATGAATTAGCTGAATATTTAAGAAAAATATTATGACTGCGAGAATAGGAAAAACATTTTTTGAATATCTGCTTTCTTATAGAATGCAGATGAATTCATTTTTACTCAATGAAAATCAAAATTTAGTACCTGATTAATCTGTCCTGTATCGAGTACCTTAGTTCAGTGATCCGTATTAGTGTGCCCTTTTTAAAACAAATTTATGCCTAAATATTAAATTTTGTTCAATTTGGTCCGAAATTTATGGAGCAATTCAAAAATTCATCTTGGCACATTTTTTTTTTCAATTTGCGCCAAAAAATATTACTTGGCGAAATTCTTAGTATATGGCAACTTGTTTTCCTTTCCGTATTTATGTTGTGTATGAGCGGGAAAAAAGTTACATAGTTCCTACATTCAAATAATCTTAAGAAAGTGCCTAAACCACATTTGATGATATTATTGCTTTCAACATATATGCCAAATTATAAATGCCAATATATAAATTCACGTACATCTTCGGAAATTTTGTATAGAAAACTCTAATTTTTTGCAAGTATGCTTAGAAATACATCTACTTTAAGATGATGGTAAACATTTTATAACTTATAATTCAAAATGTTTTTCGAAAAGTTTATAAAAGTTACTTAAAAATACAAATTTAAAAAATAAATCACAAAAAATTTGCCAATTATATTTAGATTAATTTGGATTATATTTAGATTAATTCTAAATTTCGAATTCTGGAAGAAGGAATCAGGTAAGTTTAATAAAAAAAAGAGATATTAATAAATATATATCAAATTCAATTAACATTGAAGAGCTAAAAATTTTGAGAGCTAATTTTTTAAAAACTATTCTTGCGATTTTTACAAAACTTCAGTTTGGCATAATTTGACTCGTAGAGAATTTGAAATGTCATTTCAGAAAAAGTCCGATTTTGTGTTTTGTGTCCAAATACCTATATTAAAACAATGCTATACATAAATCTAATATAGATCCTAAGCCGCGCTTTCGAGATATGAAAAACGCAAGTTGAATTTCGTCAATCGGCTCAGTAGAACGGGAGATATAGAAGTGTCTCATTTTTTACGCAGTGTACCTTGCAGAAAAGCGTTCCCAGTGTAGTTTGGGAGCTCTTTTTGCATGTTCGTCCCGAGCTTCGTATATGAGTTATATGTCCTCTTCTCCTAATTAGTGAAACAACCCGTTCACCGTTCCTGGTGAATTTTGAAGTAGAATTTACAACGAATGGAAAAAAAAACTCACCACTTATAAGCTTTCACTGGAATTAGTTCTTTTGGGTTTCATTTTTGAATTATGATCTTGCATTGTATTCCAGAAAATGCTTCTTTAAATGTATTCCATCACTCCCCTTAAAGGTTTGCCCTAGATCTTTGAAACGCAAGTATATCTGGTACCTATAAGAAATTTTAACTCTTTGAAGGGTTCAAAATCTAAAGTTTAATAATACTATATTTTGATTCAGATTATTTTTAATTATCATATGCTGCCATGAATGGAAATGCTGTTAAAATATTTATTTGGTATACTTATAATTTCAGAAAGTTTATATAAAAACTACTTCTGGCAAAGCGCATAATTTTTATAATAGACTAGTAAACAATATTTTGAAATAAAAATAAAATTCGCATGCGTTGCAGTCTGCCCGTTTAGTCCATTAGTAAATGAAAGGATATGACTGTGCACTGGTGATTCGACCCTAGTTTAAATGCCAGTGATAGGATTGGGCTGTGCTGATATTTTGCAATATTAATGTATAATGTATTATGTAATTATATTGATATATCGAATGCATCTTTCGTGTTAAGTATGCATCAATGTAATGGACATGTGTATGTGTTATTAATGTATAATGCGTATAGCTATAAGTTGCGTAATGCGCATTAGTATTGCTGCCCAAAATGTCTGTAGAGTTTAAATACTTTTCTTATTATATGGCTTAAATCGAGTGTACTATTAATATATAGTGTATTAATAAATCGAACTCACCTTTTATGTTATCTGTGTATTAATGTATTGTACGCATGTAATATTAAAGTATAATATATATAGCTATAGGTTATACAATGCGCATTGATACCGCTCTGCAATATCACAAAATTTTATTATTATACCTATTAATTTATCGTCCCTGCGTCGGCTATTATAATAGTGCATTATTAATGTATAATGTAATACGATGCACTACTATTGTGGTAATTTAACATAGTAACAGTACTTTTTGATGAAAGTATCTTTAGATTGTATAATAAGCATTGTTATTGCAGGAATCCGCAATACCCCTGTTTTCCTCCATATGCCCTTGTTTGCAATATTCGTTTTCTGGGCAGTTGCGGGATTCCGACGATACCCGAATAGTCAGTGAAAGCCGCCCGAGTGTCCGAACCCTGCTCTCACTTGTCACCTGTGCTGACATTTTGGGATTTAACATGTGGAACGTAAATACGACCTAATTCCATGCAGAAAGTTCTCCATGAAAACAACCCTCTTTTCATTTTCGATTTTATCCTCAAGCTTGCGAAATGTTGTGATGCTGTCTTCGACAATTTACCCATATAAAAACTAACATTTCACACGCTTTACTGAATGGTATTACGGGATCAAAATTGTCATAATTTGAAAGCACGTTTTGTTTTGTTCCTTTATTATATCTAAACATGGTCTTCGACCAGCCGCACAAGAGATACTCATAAAAGAATCTTTTTCACCTAGCCTGTATATTATAAAAATCTGATGCGGATGCAACATGACTTCTTTGTACGGCCTATTAAATTATACGCATTTTTACTGCATTTCGTTTAAATTTATTTCCTCTAATTTCATTAGAAATATATTTCCATTCAATTTATTCAGTTCTCAATTCGTGGCAAGGCAAAAATACGTAAAATCCTCAAAATGTCTTCATTAAAAATTGAAAAATATAAAACACCAAATATAGTTAAAACAATTAAATAAATTTTTTTACAATTATAATTAGAGTTTCTACACAAAAACAAGCAATTCGAACAGCTTACAAGAAGGCAGATTTCTCGGTGCATAAAAGTGAAAGTTTACGTTTAGTCCCACTCGGCAAAAAGACACTAAAGTTACAGAAACTGACTTAATTTACTATTCTGACAAGTTTCAAATGTAAACAAGTATGGCTGCTAAATTAGGCTTAGCCGCACTTACACAACTTTAAAATTATTAATTACTCTACAACTATTGCATACAGATTTAAAGTTCATAAAAACATAAGTCATAAAAACCT